AAAGGAGAAAACACTGGCATGATAGCTGCATGTAATGGTAATTTTATCAATCCAGGTCGCGCCCGTGTTAATTTCGAGAACGCTGTGACAACCTCGTTTGGCGCTTCTCAATACTTCAAAACATGTTGTAATCGGTAAGTAGACTTAAGCACTTAGTATCGCCAAGCTATTCGAATCAGTGTATACCCAATTCTTTGTCTGAAGATTCTCGCAAACACATATACCAAGTAAATCTGGATGGAAGAGGAAATTGTCTCCCTAAACGCAGCCAGGTTATATTTTGAAGGATGGCGGCACAATTCAACGCGTCTTCCAGGTCAGCCCTAATTTATAGTTCGTAAGAGTATAAATTGCGATCTCCCTATTTTCGCTTAAGCTTTCTTTGATAAAACTTCAGTAGAAACAAAACAACGCAGACATGACATTCTCCTGCATGAGACACAATCGACTGAAGGAAATATCTGTTTACAAGTCGGGCAAATTATCCATTCTTGCGCACCGCAAAATCAGCTAAAATAAGTCGCTGGAAACCTGGCATATTATTAAGCCTGGCGCTTCTAAGTATAACACGTTTAGAACTTGACGCGAAAAAAAAAAGGCAGTTGTTCTATATCCTTTCTGGTTCATCCAGGTAGAAGTCCTGGCATATTATTATGCCTGAGCGCTTCTAGGATATATAACACGTTTAGCATTTCGACCCGTAGCCGTAAAAAAAAAAAATTAGGCAGTTGTTCTATATCCTTTCTGGTTCATCCAGGTAGAAGTCCTGGCATATTATTATGCCTGAGCGCTTCTAGGATATATAACACGTTTAGCATTTCAACCCGTAGCCGTAAAAAAAATTAGGCAGTTGTTCTATATCCTTTCTGGTTCATCCAGGTAGAAGTCCTGGCATGATATCATTATGCCTGAGCGCTTCTAGGATATATAACACGTTTAGCATTTCAACCCGTAGCCGTAAAAAAAAAAAAAAATTAGGCATGCAGTTGTTCTATATCCTTTCTGGTTCATCCAGGTAGAAGTCCTGGCATATTGTTATGCCTGAGCGCTTCTAGGATATATAACACGTTTAGCTTTTCAACCCGTAGCCGTAAAAAAAAAAAAAAAATTGGCAGTTGTTCTATATCCTTTCTGGTTCATCCAGGTAGAAGTCCTGGCATATTATTATGCCTGAGCGCTTCTAGGATATATAACACGTTTAGCATTTCAACCCGTAGCCGTAAAAAAAATTAGGCAGTTCTATATCCTTTCTGGTTCATCCAGGTAGAAGTCCTGGCATGATATCATTATGCCTGAGCGCTTCTAGGATATATAACACGTTTAGCATTTCGACCTGTAGCCGTAAAAAAGAAAATTAGGCAGTTGTTCTATATCCTTTCTGGTTCATCCAGGTAGAAGTTCTGGCATATTATTATGCCTGAGCGCTTCTAGGATATATAACACGTTTAGCATTTCAACCCGTAGCCGTAAGAAAAAAATTAGGCAGTTGTTCTATATCCTTTCTGGTTCATCCAGGTAGAAGTCCTGGCATGATATCATTATGCCTGAGCGCTTCTAGGATATGTAACACGTTTAGCGTTTCGACCCGTAGCCGTAAAAAAAAAAAAAAAAAAAAAAAAATTAGGCAGTTGTTCTATATCCTTTCTGGTTCATCCAGGTAGAAGTCCTGGGATATTATTATGCCTGAGCGCTTCTAGGATATATAACACGTTTAGCATTTCAACCCGTAGCCGTAACAAACAATTAGGTAGTTGTTCTATATCCTTTCTGGTTCATCCAGGTAGAAGTCCTGGCATGATATCATTATGCCTGAGCGCTTCTAGGATATATAACACGTTTAGCGTTCGACCGAAGCCAAAAAAAAAAAAAATTAGGCAGTTGTTCTATATCCTTTCTGGTTCATCCAGGTAGAAGTTCTGGCATATTATTATGCCTGAGCGCTTCTAGGATATATAACACGTTTAGCATTTCAACCCGTAGCCGTAAAAAAAAAAAAATTTAGGCAGTTGTTCTATATCCTTTCTGGTTCATCCAGGTAGAAGTCCTGGCATGATATCATTATGCCTGAGCGCTTCTAGGATATATAACACGTTTAGCATTTCGACCCGTAGCCGTAAAAAAAAAAAAATTAGGCATGCAGTTGTTCTATATCCTTTCTGGTTCATCCAGGTAGAAGTCCTGGCATATTGTTATGCCTGAGCACTTCTAGGATATATAACACGTTTAGCTTTTCAACCCGTAGCCAAAAAAAAAAAAAAAAAAAATTGGCAGTTGTTCTATATCCTTTCTGGTTCATCCAGGTAGAAGTCCTGGCATATTATTATGCCTGAGCGCTTCTAGGATATATAACACGTTTAGCATTTCGACCCGTAGCCGTAAAAAAAAAAAAAAAAATAGGTAGTTGTTCTATATCCTTTCTGGTTCATCCAGGTAGAAGTCCTGGCATATTATTATGCCTGGCGCTTCTGGGATATGTAGTAGCAGTTTGAACCGTAGAAAAAAACAAACTCAGCCGTTCATTTTGTAGGAGATATTTAAGCGTTTTTGTCTGTGTTACCAATGTGATCGACTTTATACGCGTTTTTTTGCTTTGACGGCACTGAATAATTTTAGCCGAAACCTGAGCCGTACATTTGTTGAATGCCGCGCTTTAATTAAATTTCTCGCCCCAGAATGATGACATGATGGCGCGAAAATTGACGCCTCTATCGTATTAGGTGCGAAATATGATCAGAGATAAATGGAATAGTGAATGTTACAAGCTTCTGAGCATCCAGCTGAGATAGGGGACTTTTAGTCCCCTATCTCAGCTGGATAAACAAAATTTTTTTGGTTGCTAAGACGGTGCGGCTCGTTATGAAGGCGAGACAACAACATGTCACGAACATGAAATACGAGAATCGAACAAAACAACCACTTCCCCCTAAAATCTTACTCTCCCTGGTCCCTTGTATCATCAACCATTGGCTTAAGTCACAAAATGAAATGCGGGATCATGCTAAGTATATTAAAAGACTTAAAGAACTTTACAAAATGAACTATCAAGTCACAAAAACAAACAAACTTGTAGTCGAAAGACTGACTTGATTTGGCTTTTTCTACCCTGGGTACCAGTGAGACGTTTTGGTTCACGTTTCATTTGTTTACGCAATGGCACAAGGTAGGGTTTGTCTCTCTCTCGGAGTCTGCTTCACTACTGTTTTGTTCTGAGGTGGCGGATTACATTCCTAAGAACAAGTTAATTTTTTTAGCATCTCATCCGCCAAACATGTTTGTACATTCCAGGTGACTCCTTTAGATGAACCCTAGTGTCTTTCACAGCCGTTTCCTGTGTCATCACGCAAGGCTAAACTCCCTTGCATCATGACACAGGAAACGGAGACTACAATCTTTGTTAAAAATGTTATTTAAAAAAATCTATAATGCAGTGGATTCAGAAGAAAACAAGTTAAGACGAGCCGAAATTAATAAAAATGGGTTGAAAAATTTTAATAGTGAATGATTGTATTTAAAGTAATTTACCTGGATTTTAATATACCTGTATTATGTTTTGGAACCCAACTTTCACCCCGGTCCTCTTCTTTGGAGTGATGGGATATGCGCGCTTCTTATTTTCGCTTTGCTCGTTGTAAATACGTCCCCACTATACTATCTGAGAACCTGGCACAGGCTAGAGTAGCTGGAACTTTACGAGCTAAAACGGAACGAAAAATTTGGATCACATATTCGGGTCTTCACTCCCCGCCAAGGGACGTTACTGGTAAGAACGTTTTGATTCATTTCGCTGAAAAGAATTATCAAATATCATTATATAATGTTTTCTAATTCTTGCAACTGTAAACGGGTTAATAGCTGTATAAAATCAGGCTCTACAAGTGAGACACGTTCACACTAGACTAAAGGATTCTGCGGGACTACATACATTTGTGTGAAACTATTTCAGACATTTATACCCTGTTTTAGATGGTTTTAGATTGTTTGCGAGTGGTTGTAGATGTTTTTGAGGTGGTTGTAGATGGTTGTAGGTGGTTTTAGGTGGTTATAGATGGTTTTAGGTGGTTTTAGGTCGTTCCATGTTTTAGTAACTACCCACAAATTCCATATTTTTGTAGTTGCATGTACATGTACTGGCAGGGAGCTGTGAATAAGGGTTGGGGACAAGTGATTTTCCCTGGCTACTATGAATGTGACCTGTGGCTACTTTCACTGGAAAAACAATGGAAATAATACCAGTAGATCAGAACTAGCTAACTGTTTGGTTCCTCACCAGTACTAACTGCAGGACATCCCTGTACTGTCAAGTAACAGCAAACTAATTCCTATATTTTCAATTTTTCACCTACTAACTGCATACACCTGGTAGCTTGAACTCTTAGTGACAGCCCAGTACTGTCTTCTCCTTTGTGTTAGACTATGTATAGGAAATTGAGAAAAACATTCAGCTTATTTACTCTCTGTTTCAGTAATCAGCCAATGGCTCGTGGAGGAGAGCAATCCAGAGCAGTCTACCCAATCAGTTCACTTACACCATATCAAAACAGGTGAGATCTATTTAATATTAATTTTTATTTCACTTAAAAATTTACTTTGCATTTTACGAAAGTTTAGCGTGACTTCATAGAACCAAAAGGAGATATCTAAGTGCTTCCAAGCTGAAAACATTTTACAAAAAGTGTGAGATATTTTAGATGTATTATTACAACCATTTTATTGTTGTATAAGTATCATCAGTCCTCTAGTATACTGTATTACATGATCCTACGAGCATTGAATTCTTGCTGTCCAAACGTGCCGCCTAAAGGAAGAAGCTAAGGAAGCTAATACTTCTCCGTAACTGAACAATTTTCTTAACAGGTGGACCATCCGTGCACGTGTCACTAGCAAGTCAAATGTTCGTACATGGAGCAACTCTAAAGGAGAGGGGCGCCTCTTTAATGTTGACCTAGTGGACGAGTCGGTAAGTTTTTTGTTCTTTGCAATTTGAATTAAACAGTTCTCACTGAGAGAAGGGTTTTCTGGGTAGAAATGAAGCTAATAGTGTTTCATTTCATACAGGGAGAAATAAAAGCAACTGGATTTAATGATGCCGTGGACAAGTTTTATGAACTTTTGGAAGTGAATAAGGTTTGTCAAAACTTTTGGCGTAATGATGTACCAGGTAAAATCTGTTCTCATGTTAAAACTAGAATTTTCTTTGTATTCTATGAATAAATAGGGATAGGAAAGAAGTAAGTACAATTTTTTTGTTGTTTATCAGTTCATTTTATCTGGCAATGAAAAGTAAGTTAACTGGATGTCAATGTTTTCATACTGTAGTATATCACAGTTAGCTGCAACATTTTAAATTGCCTGATGACTTTTTGTTTTCTTTCATTATTTATTAAGGTGTTTTATATCTCCAAATGCTCAATAAGGATGGCAACCAAATATTCGTCCCTGAAGAACAGATATGAGATGTATCTTGGCAATGAAAGTAATATTGAACTGGTAAGAATAGTAGCTTTTCAGTTTTCGATCCTCTGTCCTCCGTTTTGTGAGATAGTTTGAGTTGTTACAGAGCACAGCTACCTTGGCTGTGTGATGGTTAAATTCTAGAGAAATGGTTGTAATAACGATTGCAATATAAGCACATTTTGTAACAACAACTTGCGTTAGACCCTTTCTTCAAGTCTATATATTAACTCAGCCTTCTTGGGGCAGCAAATCTGGCTTGTGGATGGTGATTATGAAAATAGACATAAACAAGCAAAAGCCTGACTTATTGTGTTTTTTCTTTTTTTTTTTTAGTGCAATGACCCATGTGACTTGCCATATATGCAGTATAACTTTGTCAGCATTGGTGACTTAAACAATTGCAATGCAGATGACATTGTTGGTGAGATTGACTTGAATTTACTTTCTTTCTTTAGGGTGCATCATAGAAAAATATGCAATTTTGACAATCTATCTTGACTTGTAGAATTAGCTGGATAGTGAAAAAAGGTTTTTCAACTTGAAAAGTAGGTTTACTGCTGTGAAGAAACTCAAAAGAGAACATGTCAAAATCTTGTGATTAGAGGGGACTTGATTAAGCTTTTTCTCCACCTTCACCACCCTGCTGAATTATCTTTCAAAACATCTTTTAAGTAAATTCTGTTGATATAACCTCAAGCAATATAAGGACTCCAGTCTCTACACAGGTATTTTTGTTCCAAATGGCCTTAAAATGCTTGACTAGTAGTGTAATTCATACGGATTTGATTCTTATATCTCACAGAAAGCATTGACATTTTAAGGACCTTAAGATCCAATGATGGCAATGACAATGAGAATATCAAAAAAGCAATAGCTTTATTTTTGCAAAGCAACAGCCCTGCACTGCAGCATACCATTTTTATACATTTCTTCACTGTTGCTGTGTGACGTGAAGTTTCACATTTTGTAGAGGACGTGAACAAGCCACGCAAAGCTTTCTTTCTCTTTGTGAAGTTGGATATGGTAGGAATACAACTCGAGAAGAGTCCACCTACATTTGGCAAAGTTAGTGAGGTCAATATAAATTGCGCTGGGGATTTAAAAAATACAAATCCACTTTTGAAGTGACGTTTTCACTGATATCAGCATCGTCTCATCTTAAGGTTGCTTTTGTTAGTCCAACATTGTAATTGGAGGAGTGTTTATTCAAGCGGAAGACGTACACTGCCCTCATTATTTAGAATAATTTTTCTTTTCTATGAATAGAATAATATTTCTTTTTTATGACAGATATTCTTGGCGTCGTGATCAACATTGATGATGTCAGTCAGATAACCACAAGAGCAACCAATAGACAGGTAATGCAGGGAGCTGAAATTTAGCTTTATTGATGACCAGCTTCAAAGAGCCAACTCTAAAATCTGCTTGATGTTCATTGCCTTTGGCTCAGAGCAGGGGCTAAATCACATAACCTTATCAAGAGGTCCTTTTTGAAAACCATATCTTTTATGAAAAAGTTTCCTCAATAAAGATGATTATTATTATAAGAATATGTGATTGACAAAGGAGTCACCTTTGGCTTGTTATTTTGTGTCAAGGCTGCAGCCCAACAAGTGCCCAGTTGCCAGAGATTGCTAAGATATTTTGCTCCTGGATGACTAAAATTTTAAACAAGGAGCACACAGGATTGCCTAAAACTTGTAATTCTTACTGCATTAGCCTCTATGCCTACTTCCAACGAAGGGATGGACGACAGAATTCCCTGCTCATTTTGTGCATTTGAAACAAACGTACAACATAGTCTAACATGTGTTCATCGACTGTAGGCAAAATTTTTTTGCTGATATAAGTAATTGAACAAGCACTTTTCTGGAAATTCGAGACTTGAATGAATCAAGTTTCGAGCATTTCTTGCTAGAAACATACCTGTGGCTCCGACCTTTATATTTTAGGAGCCCTTCAGTCTCCCAAAAGTCTTTCTTAGGCAGCAGCCTTGTGTGCCTTTTTAAGTTTCCTGTTGGACATTTGTTTGAGAGATGTTTGGCTTGCATGTGTAGAAAAATCTCATTTTAGTTAGAGTACTACTGAATGCAGTGGTGTAAAATATCAAAAAATTGCTATAAGTTTGATGTTGAATTGACTGGAGAAATTTGCTTTGATGCAATAAAATGTTTATTTCTATATTTATTTTAAAACAAGAACATGGTCACGTTGCTTTTTAGAAGTGCAATGCGTCAATTCTTAATCAGATATGTCTATGTTGTCACACGATTTACACATCAAGCTTGGGGCAGTTTCTATTGAGAAAGTTAGTGCTTAATGGGTAAAGTTTCTGCAGACTCACAGGCAAGATTTCAAACCCACTGATACATAAGTGAATGAGCAGTAGAGAAAGCACTTTTTTCTTTGACTGTGGAAAAAGCTCAATAGTGCTGACTGAATTTTCTTCAAATATGGATGTTATTATTCAAGTACATGGTGGTTAGGAGCTGAACTGTTTGTTATGTAGGTTTGGCTAATGCAGAGTAAAATATGAAACCACCAAATTAGCACCAATTTAGGGGGAGAACCTAAAGAAAATAGCACCATACATTTGTGATTAATCTCTTGGTGTATGAATTGTGCTCAGGTATCCAAGAGAGACATAACTTTATTGGACAGATCAGAGAAAAGTGTCAGAGCCACCTTGTGGGGCGAAACTGTGAGTATTGAGTAGAACCGAGGAAAAAAGACCACTATTTTTAAGTGATAAAATCGTATCAACCCACAGAAATGTGTCATTTTTAACATAAGCTATGATGTCTACCATTGGTTCATAATTTTGACTATGAGGTAACCAGTGTCCATAAAACAGGTTTAATGATATATGAGAGTTTGTAACCAAGGACAACTCAGGACACAGGAAAGTGTCCGTTTTCTGTCTTAACCAGTGCCTGTTTTGAATTTTAGGGGTTTTTTTTGGAGAAAATATATCTGCCTTAACTGTATTTTATACACTGAGCGGGGTGTCCAAAGTGGGGTACCACTGTATCAGTTTTTCTGTGCAAAACCAATCTGAACTTTGCAAGAGGTGTAAAGCCTTGCATTTTACAGTGACCATGCTTGTTGTGGTGGGGTGGGGGGTGGGGGGTGGAGGGGATTGGTCCACCTGTCACAGATCTCCCTGTTAAATTTTGCGTAACTTTTGCTTTGAATATGGTCAATATTTGTTGATCATTTGAATCGATAAAATATTGTTTCGTTTGTGTGTACCTTATTCTCACTTAATTTCACGAATATTAAATTTCGTGGTTTTCGCGATTTGGGAAAAATTGCGAAATAAGGGGTTATACATGAACTACTGAGCGACATTTAATGCTCGCCAAATTTAAAAATCCCTAAAAATGACTAAAAATTCTTTAAAAATCCCCATAAATCCCTATAAATCCCGAAATTAGATACTCACGAAAAATGGCTCATGATTTTTTGCGAAATGTTATACTAGTGAAATTAACTGGGAGTAAGGTAGATACCGCTTTCAACTTCGCTGAAGTACTTTTTTACTTGTATCTGTACAGGCTGAGAAATTTGAACAATACATGGGAAAAAATCCTGTTCTTGCATTAAAAGGAGTCAAAGTATCAGAGTTTGGAGGTAGATATTATAATTATTTCATTGGTTAAGCGGCTTGTCGTTTATTATCTGTAAGGGGGAAGGAGGTGGCCATTTTGAGAAAGCGTAGAAGATTTTCAAACTGACCCCTCAGTTCATCCTAGCTTTTTATAAATGACCCCCCATAAATTTTACATCATTGTGAAAGTGATCCCAACCCGATTGCTGTGGAAACTATGGATATTCTTGCTACAAAACATTCCGAAGTTCAACATATACTTTATCTACAGTCGTGTTTATAGAGTGTTTTCACTCACGTAGCCAGCATCTATAACAAAAGAAATCGTTTACATAAGAAAAGAGTCCAACTCCCAGGGGACTGGTTTGGGACACCATTATGACCGCCGTGACGTCATGTGAAAACACTTTATATGATTAGCGTTAACTATTTACGACTGTTTCATTCAATCACGCGCGTCACTGCTTTGTACTACTTTCAGGAAATTTATTAAAATCCCCCTCCCCCTCCCACAAGTTATGCTCCGTTATCTGAAAATGACCCCACAAAACCATTCAGGATTTTGAAAATGACACTGCAGCAAAATGGCCGGTTCCTTCCCACATGTAACAGAGAGCTTTCGATTTGCGGACGAAAACGACATTGAACACAGGCGGCCCAAGCTCGATGCATAAATTACCGCGAGTTTTGATACTGTTTTGCATATTACGAACGATTTTCAAAAAGATTTATGAGAAATTCAATATTGCTAAACCGTAGAAATATAGGCATAAATATAGAAATGAATTGTACTTACGTAAGCTTGGGCCTGTTGTTGCTCTTTCTGTGTAACCTGGGCTCAATTCATGGCCATTTTATACGTTTTGCGGCTCGTTGTTTGTTCGGTGTTGTTTTCCTACATAAAGCAAAGCAAGGCAGGGTGACTGTGTGCAACTCACAAATCTCTCCCGCGTCAAAAAACAGCGCACCGATTCATCGTGAAAGCGCCAAATCCTTAAGGCCAGGTCAGTCTCATATCTCTTCCCCTCGTCATAGGTATTGCGATGTTTTTTTTGTGGGAAATGTTTTTGAAAGTTTTTGGTTCTGGGCAATCCGACGTGCGCTCGGGAACCTCGATAACTACTTGTTGTGTGGTGAACGCGAACATGGATTTAGGGGATCCTGGTAATGAATATTGAATAACAAAACATGGATCTTCCTACCCTTCCCACCCCCTGAGTCTACTGATATCGCGTGAGCGGTGTTTGGAATTATCCAATTGGATGAACGTTTATAAAATGTTCGCGTTCACTGCGCAACACGTAGTCATCGAGGTTCCTCAGCGCCGTCGCATTGCCTATTTAAAAACTTTCAAAAAAATTTCCCGCATAAAACACATCGCAATACCCATGACAAGAGCAAGTTATAAGACACTGACCTGGCCTGAAGGATTTGGCGCTTCCATGGTGAATCGGTGCGCTGTTGTTTGATGCGGGAGAGATTTTGAGTTGAAACTGCACACAGTCACCCTGCCTTGCTTTGCTTTATGTAGGAAAACAACACCGAACAAACAACGAGCCGCAAAACGTATAAAATGGCCATGAATGGAGCCCAGGTTACACAGAAAGAGCAACAACAGGCCCAAGTTTTCGTGAGAACAATTTACTTCTATTTTTATGCCTACACTTCTGGTTAACAACAATATTGAATTTCTCATACAAAGTCTTTAAATCCTTCGTGATATGCAAAGCAGTATCGAAACTCGCGGTAATTTAAACATCGAGCTTGGGCCGCCTGTGGATTGAACTTAACGTTTTTGTGCGTGTTCTAAAAAAAGACACCCCGGAAAGCTTCATTTTCCTATTTTTCTCGAAAAAAGTTAATACGGTCACTTATACTGAAGGAGGTTAAGCCCTTTCCCGATAACAAAATGATAAAACTTCTTACATTTGATAGGGGTCTTAATAACTTGTTCCCGCCACTACGACAGTCTCGCTAAAACACGTAGTATATCGCGTTTTCTCGCCAAAATGACGCTGGTTCACGCGTGAGCAATACTCAGTATTGAGAAAGTCTCGTGCTCGTATTCGTCTTGCGTAGTCCCTAGGAAGACCTTAGACCTCAGCCAGGTTGGCGTCCAGCGTTTTTAGTGAAAAGAAGGGTTTGCGTGGGGTGCTCTGTCTCGCGGGCTCATAAATCTTGGTCTCGGTCATTCTTATTTAAGGATTTTCTAGTCCTTAGGCCTCATTATGCCGCGCTTCCAAAGCGTTACGGGTCACTTGGTCCAAGGATTGACCGAGAGGGACTGGAAAAACGCCGCACAGGGCAAATTGTCGTCTTCGTCTCAGAATCTAAAGCTCTCTAATAAAGGCCTAACCCCTAATGATGATGATAATCATAGAACAACTTGAAAGTGACATTTATTGTCTGTTGGCTGGTTTCACTTAGGCAAATGCTCTTAGAAATGGCTGAGTTAAAATATGAAATATGCGACAATTCAGCACTTTCTACTCATAAGACAGTGGTGATTAATTGTACAATAATTAGCGTGCAGTTGTCTTACAGTCTTATAGGGCTTGAAATAACCACCAGTCAATTAAAAATGTCCAGTCCAAAATGGGTCAAATCCTTTGATGGCTGGTGCCATCATACTCTCCATTAGGAAAAATATACAGCACTAGCCGAGCCGCATGTTGGGAAAGAACGCGAACTAATGTCTATTTCTGTCCAATATATCAGATAAAATAGTAAAACATCAACATTACTATCCACATCTGGACGTTTCTTCTTTTTCTTTCCTCTATACTGCAGGAGAGTAGCTTCCACGATTAGCTGCGCGCTTAATCCGCTTATTTTTTTTATCCGAAATCTTATGATGTTCTGTTTTACTTACGCGCGCTAACGCAATTTCTAGATTTAACTAGAAAGTTCTTTGTAACGAAAGCTTGGGCACACGCGAAAGCGCCACGCAATTCAGTTACTAAAAGTTTTTTTGTGTTTGCAGTTAGTTGACTCAAGTTTCTGTCAATTCCCGATTTCAAGAAGCAATTTTTCCTTGTTGTAGTGACTTTAAAGACATCACCAAGTTCTCATGATGTTCATGAGAGTTAAGAAGTTAAAAGAAATAAACATCATTGCACACGTCTTCAGAAATTACTGGAACAATAAGAAGTCCCTTAGGATTGTTGCACGAGCTGGCATGTTACGTGGGAGCGAGCGCGGTAAACACAATGTTTGCCGTGTTCGCTCCCACTTAGGGTACAGCCTGTGCGACAATCCTGAGGGACCTCTACTAGCGGAATATCTCACGTCACAGCCGTTATTCTGTTCGTTTGCACGGTGTAAGCCCTGTTCGTTCAACGGTTTTTTCCCACGTCCATTATAATTCTCCGTGTGACAGTTTGTTTCGTGGGCTATTTGTCGTGTATTTCTATCTCTTTTATGTACCACAGTTTATAAGGCTTTTGGGGTTGGCTTTTAATCTCTTCTCACTAGGAAAGTTTGTTCTCGTGCTATTAGTCTTTTATTCTCAGTGAGATTTTTCTGTGGACGCCCGTTCGCTTGGTTTTGTGCTGTTAAATTTTGCCGTCTTTTCTGCGCAATTTTCGGTTTTACTTAGTGGTTCTTTTTTATATTAGCAAACTTTTTTTTTATGGAGTTTGTGTGTTAGTTAGTTTCCTCTAATGAAATAACCTACAGAAGATAAAGAGAGGATTGATACTGTGTAGACGAACTAAACTGTGGAAAGGCGGAGAGAACCCCAGAAGCTCTGGAAACATAGTTGAGATTAATAAGGTTTTGCGCAAAGAAGCCAACAAACACACTAAGTCAGTGAAAAAATAAAAGACTATTGATGTAAAAACGAGTTCTTCAATGATACTGAAAATTGTGTGAAAGACGGCTAAACGAAACTGTACACCATTTTTGCTGAATAACCAGCACTCAGTATGGTTAGAGCGCCACTTCACTGGTATCGCAGAGATCAGGACTGGAATCCCAGCAAGCCTGAATTTTCTCAGGCTTTCGTTTCACAACCGAGGATCTTCTTTTTATTTATTTGGTGACGTAAGTAGACATGCAAGACTGAACGAACCGGCGTATTGCAAAGCGATCATGGATAAGCGAGACTATTAGCATACGATAAGCTGTTTTTAACGGAAAAGAGGTTTGAAGGCAACACCAAACACTTAACAAACAAACTGACACACGGAAAAGTTTTAGAAATACAAGACTAAAACCGCACGAACAAACTGTTGCCTGGAAGCACTGATCTTTTAAGATAGGCAGATCTTGTACCATACGAACAAACAGACCTCCGGACAAGTGTTAAGAAGAGACGACTATTACCTTGGAAACAAATTGCCGTAAGGAAAAGCGTTCGAAAAACGGCCAAATACCTATTATTTAGTGACGTAGTGAACCCGTACAAACGAACAGAGTAATGGCTTTGACGTGAGAAGGAAAAACGCGGAGGAGAATGTGGATAGTGATGCTAATGTTTAACGGTATTCTCTATGATGTTTTGACAATAGACAGTTTGCTTTCTGTCGCGCAGGCTAGACTGCTTCCAGTCCTCCTGTTCTCCTAAAAGCTGTCGAATTCCTATCCCAACCAGGACGTTTGCAAACACGTCTACGCGCAGCCCGCTGCCGTACATTTTTTTAATCAAGTAATGATCGGAGAAAATGAAAGGCCATCCAAGGACTTGACCCGCCGACAGTACCCATTTTTCACCAGACACTGTCCGTTGACCGACCGAGTTTTTGAAGCTCTGTAGTCTGTTCACAAGTTCTTTATGTTTGAGATGTGAATAACAGAGTTGTGCTTTTGCTGTTTTCCAGGTCGTTCTCTGTCAATCATGAACTCTACAAACATGATGGTTGATCCAATGGAACTCAAGGAGGCACACACTCTACGGGGATGGTAAAGTTGCCAAATATTTGCCTTTTTCTTGTATCCCTCTTTCAGTAGGTCTCAGTTGTTCAAAAACTGGATAAATCCATCCACCGTGTAAATCTCTATCTTCTGGATGGCGCAGTTGGTTTCCTTAATATTGACTTAAAGCAAGGACTACGTAATTTTTCCCGCCACCCGTCAATGCGTCTAATTATGATACCACGACAGCGACAGCAGTTAAAATGTCGCTCTCTGATAAAAAGTGAATTCACATTCTTTCAAACTTGTTCGCGATTATCACAAGTCGCTAAACTTGTCAAATGTAGGCGAACCCAAAACCATATTCAGAAGTTAAGTTCAGAGGGGGAAAAGCTCATTATCGTCATGTTATCGTTTGTTTTGTTCCTCCATAAAGGTGATGTTACACAGGACGATTCGCAACCACGATTTTTAGCGCAACCCAGCATTACAACACTGTTGCAACAATGTTTTGAATGCTTCTAACATTGTTCCACCATTGCTACGCTGTGTTGCGCTAAAAATCTTTAGCTGATGTTACACGAGACGATTCGTAACGACGATTTTTATCGCAACACTGAGTTGCAGCATTGTTGCGACATTGTTTCGAATGGTTACAACATTGTTCCAACATTACAACGCTGTGCAGCGCTAAAAATCGTCGTTGCGAATCGTTCCGTAAAACGTGAAATTAGGCATTTTCATGTCGAGGTCGCGCAGTGGTGGCTTGTAGAAAAAACAATAAAGGGGATGCACGAGATGATTCAAATCAACAACTTTGCACTTGCATGTTAAGATGATGTTGCACGAGACGATTGGCAACGACGAATTTTAGCGGAACACAATAACACAATATTGTTGCGACATTGTTTCGAAAGATTGTGGTTGCGTTGCCAAGCGTCTCGTGCAACATCATCTTAAGATGCACGTGCAAAGTTGTTGCTTTGCTAATTAAAGGTGGTGTTACACGGGACGATTCGCAAGGAGGATTTTTAGCGCAACACAGCGTTGCAATGTTGGAACAGTGTTGCGACTATTTGAAACAGTGTCGCAACAATGTTGCAACGCTGTGTTGCGCTAAAATCGCCCTTGCGAATTGTCCCGTTTAACGTCACCTTATGGTGATGTTACACGAGACGATTTGCAACGACGATTTTCAGCGCAACACAGCGTTGCAATGTTGGAACAATGTTGCAACCATTCGGCTTTCGTTTTTTTCCGGTATAGATTTTAGTGGTTGCGGTAGTTTTCCAGGTGGCAGAGTATTCTTTAATCTCTTTGATTTCCAATAAGGATTTCTTCCTTTTTTTTCAGGTACTTGAATGTTGGAAAAGATTCATCTGTCGAGTCAGTGTCTGCACAGAGATCAGATGGTGCTATCGGTAAGAATTTTACGTAAAGTATTATACACCGCTTCTCAGCTACTGAATAGAAAAATAAAGCATTGTCTTGTTATGTTTAGGCTCTGGAGCTTTTAAGACATTGATGCAGATCAAGACAGAACAACTTGGAATGGGAGAAAAGGTATTAACAGGACTAAATAACTCTTAATAAATCCATTTCACGTAGCCTGTAATTCTCCTTCATATGTGACTACATTGACGTTAGGGAGCCTTCGCAACAACGGCGGCGACAGTAATGAGAACAGAAAAAGGAATAAGGCAGCGGAGGAATTTTAGAGCGGCTGAAAAATTTGGCTGGACACTTTGTTCTCACCGGATCGTTCAAAGTTTTTGTTCTGTTCACGCGAAACTTTTAAAAGCTAGGTTCTCAATTTTCGCACTGTTAAGGTTGTTCGTGTGAACGGAACACCTCAGCTAAACACGAATTTTCAACCTGTCGAAAACGTAGCCTTATTGAGCATAGGAACAGCACTGCAAGTGCATCACTTTTCATGGTCCGTTTCTTTGCCGTCACAACGACTACAACGTGAAATTCCCTTGTGGGACGCCTCATTGGGGACGTTATCACAAGACGACGAATTCAATTTTTACTCTTCTAGACTTAAGTTCGGTTCCTCAAGAATTCAGTTCCTGGGAAATTTAGTGACGATAGTCATTTTATGGGAGTTGTATAATATAATAATCGCTGCTAAGTTATAAAATACGCGAAGACTTTTTAATATTAACGTTCTTGCTGCAGTTTGTTGCCGTCTCTCTCGTAGTTGCTAAAGATCCCTGTTCTTAGCTTACATCCCTTCCTCCTCGTTTGTAGCCGGATTATCTCTCTGCTAAAGCGACTGCTGTATTTTACAAGAAAGACAATTGCTTATACAAGGTAAGAAAACATTCTTGGATATGACTGATACGTGAATACCTAGCGGCGGTTCACGGAATTAAAACCTAATCAACCAACTTATCTAGATTTGATGCGCTAATACATATGTAGAAATTGTGTACTGTATAAAAAACGAGCAGTAGTGTATTATCAGGTTTAAAAACTCAGGCGAAGCGATGAGACCTGATGGTAAACGACCGCGAGTTTTTTGATCGGCTTCAAAATCTCTGATATAGATTAACTCATTCGAGCTCTATTATTTAGATCTGGGGTTATTTTGGTCTGAAAAAAATTGCTTTAAGTTACTTTTAACTTCAAAACTTGCTTTGACTCGATCTATGTAAAGTTCCCATCTCGATAAAATTTGTCAATACCTCGGTAGTTTTAGAATGTGAAGGGTTGTTATTTGTTCCAGCAGATCATATTGTCGAGGGACGTTTTTTCTAATCTTTAGACACTGGTTTAACTTTTTTCTTCGCATAACGGGGTGTTTCTTTGTGTTGCGGAAACCACTGTTGGTCAGCTATTTTCTTTTGTTGCGGGTATTGAAATAATGAATGTATGAATTTCATATATTTCAACTGCTGAATAAGAAATAAATGGAGAGAAGATCCTTGCAGTTAAAGTCGCAACTTATGCAGTTGGGAAGAGAAAGCCTAAAGAAAATCATGCAGACTTGCCGGGACTTCCAATACCGATACCTCGACGATACCGGTGCAGCGATCTAACCATTGTCTTTTCAATCTTTTGTGTCGGTTGCATCTGAGCGTGTACACGTGGGGAAAAGACATGTTCTAATTGGGTGCAAACGTGACATGTTTTGGCACCAAACATTCGAAGTTTGGAGTAGGCAGGTGTTGTCGACTTGATTTGTTTTCGTTCAACAAAATATTCTTTGCAAGAATTACGTTAAGAATAATTTCTGGAGGGAAGTGTGCTGTTTCTCTCTGCTTTTTCTCTGAGCGAGTAATATGCCTGAAAATTGAGAAAATTTAAATATGAGCCGAACGCGCGGTTAAACAATTCTTTTACCTTTGGTGGGACAGTTTGTCTTAATGGCTGTCGAACTTTTAATGATTGGCGGCAAAACACGACATGTCTGGCACTCTTTTAGAACACGTTTTTTTGTCTCGTGTCCACGCTTAGATGCAACCGACGGTATTTTTGGTGATAGCACCATCCGCATCAGCAAAAAGCTACAATAATTTGCGATATCTTTCGCCATTTTCTCCAGCTTTGTCTGCCTTCTGCTGTCGGCAAACATCTTCTAATTTGGTCAACACGAGCTGGTTATTTAACAATTATTCCTCGAGCCCGAATGGGCTCTGAGTCAATAGCCCATTCAGCCTCCGGCCTCATAGGCTATTGACTCAGATGCCATGAGGGCGAGAGGAATAATTATTTTAGTAAAATCCAACTAGTTGGTCAAAAATATCGAGACAAAACAACTTTAGCTAGCAAACCCCGATTCAGCTGCCATTGTTTTGGTTTTCAAAGCCGGCGCTTTTCCCTACTAGTGGGCTATAACATATAGCCTAGTAGTAGCTCAACCAATCAGAACGCAGCATTGATAATAGACCACTAGCTGGATTTTACCAATAAGAATTAGCTGGGAGATTCAAGCCGGTCATAAGCGGAGAAATCAGTGTTGAATTATGTTTGGCAGACTCTGAGGGCATGTTTACATGGAGGTGGGGGGGGGGGCAGATAGGTGAAGCAACATGTGGCGGGTCACCCCACTTATCCTGTAAACGTGATCAAATTAAAATGAGAGATTATATGGACAGGCGGGTTACCTCACTTACCTTGGGTCCCCCACCTCCATGTAAACAGGCCCTAAATGATTGGTAGTTACATCTTACTCTGAATGTCCGTTATATGAGACTAGCAACGAGAGGTTTTTGTTTTGTTTTCAGGCTTGTCCTACTGCAGATTGTAACAAGAAACTTATTGAAGAAGGAGACGGCAATTACCGCTGTGAAAAGTGCAACCGAAGCTTCCCTAACTTCCAGTATCGCCTGATTTTATCGGTGAGAGATGGTCATTCATTCATTAACTTTGCAACTTTTTAATTTGTTAAGCGCATTTACACATGCGTTTTACCTCATGAGTGTCCTTGACAAGTGTCTGCTTTGGTCGTGTGAATAGCGAACACCTTTTCTGTGACAATTCAATCTGTGGATAACACTAAAGGCGTGCAAAGTTTATGCCCCTTCAGGATCCGTTTCAGAGCTGCAAATAATTGTGTTTTCTTAAAAGGAGATTTGTCCGGCCAAGTCGCCATTTCGGTCAAACATAAACATGCTGAATCGAGGACGCTCACTATTCGTCTTCAAGGAAATTGTTCTTGGAAGGTGCGCAGGTAGAGTGAGTACTATCTCTCACTGCAACAGAATTATTTCGTTTGTGCGACGATTCATATGTTGTCCGGCCACAGTTAAGATTTCGTTTAACGTGGGCCAATTTTTTCGTCTTATGACTGACTGTATATTCGGCTCTGTTATTAGTTCCAAGGACTTACGGTAACTATCGTCTTTACGTCTCATACGACGTAAACGATCACCTTGTGTGCTCGATACACTTTTGCACGGCCTGAATGTTTTTTGGGCTATCTTTCTTTTTACTTGACTAGGCCTCCGAATGTATCGGACAGGGGCTGGAAAGGTATTTTAGGGATCCAAGATTTGACCAGAATGCGGTTTGGGAGTCTGGAAAACGAAAAATATTCTGAGGGGAAACTGGATTTTGCTGCTTCCCGGGAAGCGGAATTCACCAAAATTTGGGCGCGGGATGCGGTATTTTTTCCCGTCTCTCTGAAATTCGGGAAGACATACTTTCTAACGGCAAATACAAAGTCAAACACTCGAGCGTTCAGGGGTGTCTCCTATAAAAGCGAACCTTAGAGTGACGTAGGTAATGATTATTTAATTGAAACTGGCAACTAATCAACAGAAGAGCAGACAGAAAACCTACTGTTTCAACCGGCAGATGCCAGGAAAGTGCACATGATTTTAAGTGACTTAGTGCTCAAACTCTTTATTTATTGTATATCTTGAACAAGTGATTTGATCAGTTAAACTTAAGATATGACAAACAGAACAGTGATCCCAGCTCTGCTTCCGTGAACAAGACAGAGAGTTTTCTTGTCTTTATTTCTTGTGCCTACAGACGAGTCTACAGCTTGTTTCAGGCGTTTCGATAGTGGGGGCAGAGAGAGAGAGAGAGCGCAGGAAAGAGATAGGGCCCGGGGGAAGGGGATACTTGGGCTAATTTTTGCTGGGTATGTGCTTCTGGCCTCTCAGAACGCTGCAGACTCAACTTTTTATTAGCGTCTCTAGCCATCAGAAATTCATTGTAGCTTGATTATTCGATCATTGGTACTTTCATAAGGGACATATGTGGCCATTTATGCAAGGAAAAATAAGACGCTACTTACAGAAAATGCATCCTAAATCAAACGCAAACTTCCTATATAGGTGTTAGAGAAAATATCTTCGCGTCTTTTCCGGTACGAGTGCTTGCGGCGTCTTATATTTATTCACCCTATTCCCCCGTATAAATGGCCTTATGTAACTTTAATGTGGTTTTGTTCTTTGATCTCCCTGCCTTCTCTTTTAACATCTAATCCGCGGTTGACTTCATTAAATTCAAAGGGAACCAACTCAACATTTAACTTCTGGATATCATTGTTTCGTGGCGAGGTTACGGAAAAAAGGAAATTCCCAAGTACAGGGAAGAACACAGCGATGTTCGTGTTGAAAATTGAAACGAGAGTTAGTACTATTTTCTACCGAAGCGAAACGTAAAGAAAAAATCTGATAAAGAAGTCTTGCTTCATCTAAATCTCTCCCAGCTCCACAAGCTTATTTGTGACAACTCTACGATTGTAGGAAAAATATTTCAAGGTTAAAACTGAAATTAGAACATATTGCATTGCACAAGACAGAGGGCACTGTGAAGCAAAGGAAGGTCGTGCGAATAAGGAGAGCCTAGTACTCGTTACTTTTTCAATCCTGAGTAACGAAAACACGCTACAACACTTGGTACACAGATGCTACAAAAGCCAAAAGTGCAGTCGCCCCAATTACAAAGAAAGATAAAAAACAAGACTCTTTTATAGACTGGTGAGCAGAATTGATTGCACAGTTCTTCTGTAAAAAAAACTTCACTTGCCCGTCGGGCAAGTTAAGAACAGAATTCACTAGCCCGATAACAAAATCAACTAGCCCCGGGCTATCGGGCACTACTCTCTTTGCACGCTGTGCTTAGATAACTGCGCACCTATCTCGCTGCACAACACGGACTATAAAATGACACTAAGGGTGGATTTCCACTGTCACGTAATTTTCACGCGCGTGCCGGAATAAAATAGAGGTAACGTATGAAATGCCGCGCTTATACGTTAAAGTTGAAACGTTAACGCGCATACACATGTTAAAATTACCCGACAGAGGAAATCCACCTTAAGCCTATCGCCGATGGATTCACTAAAATGCTATCCAGGGTCATCCATTCGTTAGTGTTCCTTCACCCACGGAAGTGATCCTTCCGTACGCTCAATCTTTGGCTAAACATGACTCGTTCACTGTAGCACAAGAAAGCGAACCATACCTTTTTAGAATCCTTGAGCCTAAACTTTCTTACCGTTTTAAGGCGATTCAGTTGTTACTGATAATATCTGAGTTAGTGTTTGGACAGTAATTTGTGTGTACGCATTCTATTTCCGTCCGTACCTACATACCCTTCTAATCCTTTTTGCCTTTTTTCCTCTCTCTTTTTTATATCGCATTGGGTTATTGTGTTACAACTATCGTTATTTAATTTGTCATCAGTCTATTTCATTTTAAGTCGCGAAAACCGGTTTCTGTTTATTTGTTTATCAGGCAAACCTGGCAGATTTTACTGGTAACCAGTGGGTCACGTGTTTTCAAGAATCAGCCGAGGCCATATTGAAAAGGACTGCAGCTGAAATTGGTGAACTCAAGGACTCGGTAAGACTTTCCACAACAAGTACTCTACAGGAGTCTTTTTATTACCGTCCTGTCCGTGACCGTCTTTGCGAACAAGTACAAGTGTCCAGGGATTGCTTCTTACCTCTCTCCGTAAATTTTCCCACGGGTAGATTGGGTACTACGCTGTGTTTACCATTAGTCGGAACTGGCCGGCAAGACTGGTCCAGTTGGAAAGAGAATTTCACTATTAATCAGTACTGCCCAGCAAGGTCAGTCTATTTTCAAATGAGATGCGTGGAGTGATAGGTTTCTTCCGACAACTCTTGAAAAAAGACATTAATTTTCACAATGATCGCCGTGACTGACCAGCTCGCAATTTTGGTAAGCACCCTATGATTCAGTCTTTCTCCAAGTGTTATTTGGTGAAGGGCTGAGTATCCACCATTGGTGTTGTTTTCAGTGTTAGGGCAGGGAAGTGGCTAATGTTGATTTTGAATGTTGGCAAAGTTAGCTCTTTGTCCTGATCTTTTTTCTTTAGAATCTTCCTTAAGTCCTCCAACATCGGCTTTATCCTTTTATATCGATGTGCCTTAAGTGTTGTTCAGTCATAACGGGTTTCTGTTTTGTCAGCTTAAAACAAAAAGGGAATATTTGAAGTATGTGATATCATCCGTTGGTATACTCACACCTTGGAGACGAATGTCCAATACATCAGAGAGTTTAAGCTTCACGTATACGGCAAACGGCAATCGTCAGAATCAAGTTCAGAATTTCTCAAAATAGAAAATGAGCAGATAAAACAGCTCTAAACTACTAATTTATGTGTAGAAATAATGAACAGTAAACGGGAGACTTGGTCACGTGGTACAAATTCGCGTTTGCCCTTAACCTCTCAATTGTGGAACCAAAAACACTAACTTGCGTGTCCCATGAAGCCTTGCGTACTCAGTACTTTTACCTGTAAAGACGTTGATAATTCAAATTGTTAGTGATATCGACGAAAATCGGATCAAATAGGGAGTAGGGTTTAGTTCGTTTGATCGGCTTGGAAATGCGCAAAGCCTTCTCTACTGTTTTCTTTAACTGTCATCAAAGGTCACTCATTGACTAGCAAGGTTAATGTGCGAAAACTTCTTTTTTTTTTGGTAGGGTGACGACCGGAACTTTGACGCAGTCTTTTCAGAAGCAAGCTTTAAGACCTTTAACTTTAGGATCAGAGCTAAGATGGAAACCTACAACGTAAGTTCTTCCTAATTCAAGTCATGATAATCTAACTTTGTCAGTCTTGCCCCTTTTGAAAAACCACTCCTTCTCCTCGACCATGATTTACTGCCTGCCCGTAATGTGTTAATGGTGAGAGCGTCAGAAAAGTTTGTCCACGTCGGGTTTGGACGGATTTCTTTCGGGGACCAATTGTATCTCACAAGAAACAAATTTCACTAAACACCACGCCCTGGCAGGGCTTGAAATAAATCAGTAGCCAGGACCTGCAGCCGGTCACGTTGTCCGGTAAAACTTATGTTTGCTCGGACAAGACCATAGTGTTTGAAAAGCAAAGGGCGTAGAGGAGTAATATGTGACCTCGATTGCAGTTAAAATTTACAGTTGAGATGGCGAATCGCCTTTGTTAACCAATCATTACTGTAGAATGGAATCTGAACTTGACTGGTCAAACCGCGTGTACATTAAACAAAGGTGATTCAAGGTCATCAATAACTAAGACGGCGACGCAATTGTCCTCTTCGTAAACGGTCGCTGCCATTTCTGAGACACTTAGAAACTTTTGGACCTGTGTTTGAGAATGTTTCTATTAAAAAGAAAGAAAAACCCAACCCAGAGCTCGAACGCGGACATTTCGTAATCCAATCGGAAACATTTAAGTACATACACAAGCAAACTGTCTCTTGACTGTTACATCAATAACAGGTTATCCTAGCCCTTTTCATAACTTTTCAACGTCGTTCTTTCTAAGACTATTCAAAAACATATTGTTTGCCTCATTGTAATGTAATCGTGGGAATATGCTACATCTATCGTGACTAAAGTCTTGGTTACCAATCGTGGCATCGACCGTTAAAAATGGCAAAGATCGTTTACCAAAGAGAAAGAGGCGACGGCGACGGCTACAAAAACGTCACTTTAAAAGCAAATTCGTGCTGCTTCGAACATTACTGACTGCGAAAGGGTAGAAGCGACAGCACCTCAAATTGGAATTGCAATCGTGAAGTTGTCGTCTGTTTTCGACAATTCAATTATTGTGATTCCTACTTTACCGCTTTTAAAATTTTCGCGTAATATTTTGCTTGGTCTTTAAACATGCTTTTGATGTAAATGTAATCACATACTAACTGCCTTTTTATTTCTTATTTACTTTTGTCCAGGATGAAACTCGCCTGAAATGTTCTGTTGTGAACGCAGCTCCACTGGACTTCAAACAGGAAAGCAAACGACTTATTGATGAGATTAAGAAGCTTTCCGCTCTTTAAGAAAAATGGGGCCGCACTCTAGCATGTTGTTGCTAAAATAAGCCAAAATATTCTGCCAACCCGGCTGCTCTCCGTTGTGTTTACTGTGTAACGATTTTTTGTTTTCGTTTTCTGGTAAAGTAGTTGAGTGTTTGTAAGTAGAAGAAGTATAGTACGTAAGACAGGTTGGTTCTATCTGTCACACTGAATTTAGCTTATATGAAAAGTGTCATATACGTTCTTTTTAGTGCGATGTTTCAAACAGTTGTTGAGTTGATGTTGGTTGTTGCCTTAAAAGAGATAAATAAAACTTTGGAAGTCAATTTTTCTTGTCTTGATAATAAGGATGCTGGGGGGAGGTAGCAATGATAACGGCCACGGCAATGGAAAAGCCACTGTTACATAAATTTCGCCTATGTTTTCAAGCTTTGTCGCGATAATTCTAACTCGGTTGGCTTTCTTTTAAGTTGATTTTTGGGGCGCACACAAGCTTAGAAAGATAAAGGAAAAATCCTTCTTGTGTCTTTACGTAGACCATGAAACGTCTCATTAAGTTGTGGAGTGACCGCTGTGCATGTGAAAGCCCATTGCTTTTTTCAGTCTTCTTGTAACCGCCCTCTCTCCACATTAGGAATCTTAAGATCCGACGATGGCTGCGACGACAAGAACGACAAAACAAGACAAAAATTCTGAACGTACAGCACACCTTTTTTGTACTTTTGCTGGTCATCCATGCACGACTATGTCGCCAAAGTGCTGAATTTCACGTTTTATGGTGGACGAGACCATTCCACGACAAAATTTTCTTATTCTCTGTGATGTTGGATCTGGTTCTTGGGAATTCAACTCCGGGAGAGTTCGCTTACTTTTGGCAAGTAAGGGAGCTGGAGTGATGGCGATGAAGATTGAAAGAAAGCGAATTCACTTTTTAAGCGTTGTTTTCGCTTCCTTCGCAGTCCCACGAACTTAAGGCCCCCATTACGTATCTCAGAACGCAGCATTTCCGTACATTTCTGTATTCCCATATTGTCCAGAGAAAGATCAAAGCATCAGCTGGCAGTGGCGAAGAGTCCAAAGATGAGGCTTTCTTTAAATTAAGATAACTTTGGCAGGAATAAAAACGTCCGTGAAAATAAGTTAAGGTGTTAATTTGGAGGCTGAGACGTAGTGATTGCTGCGGCCGCCGAAAACTAGATGGATTTGTGTGGAAGAACAGCTCTTGCTATCCAGTCACGGCTCATTGATTTTCTATACAAATTCTCATAAACAACTTTCAAATTGTCGGAAAGTCTATTCCCTTACCGTTACCATTGCAGACCACAAATTTTCTATGCTGGTATAAATATATATATTTTTTGGTTCTCAGCACATCAAAAGGCCCTTTTCATCTAAAAGACAACCATGAAAATTTTTATCGGGTGACAAGACCTTATTGAACTTTGTCATCTTCATAGAAAACCTGCAGAAATGTAAGATCTGTTTTTCAGTGGAATTTCGCTTTGTTTCAGGTAAAACCAAAATACCCTTACCCCATTCTTTTGAGAGTTTTTACATTTTCCCAGGAGGTTCGTGTTGTCGTCTTCCGTACATGTTGTACTTGTACATTATCAATTCGTCGTATCGTTTCCTGACTTTTTGTCACCCTTTACAAGCCCTAAGGCTGACGTAAATTTTAGTCATCTGAATCCATTTGCAGAAAAGGAGTGATCGCATTGCATTTTTTCAGTAATGTGTACGACATTCGCGCTTGAGCCATAAATATTGAAAGAATGCCATTCCTGCAAATAATGTCGCGAAAATCTGATGAGATCTGAATATTTCTTACCTAGTTTCGAATATAGTGGCGATACTAGCAGGTTATTGTCGATTTTGGAATTAAAATAGATGAGAATCATTCCTTTTTTAACTAATTTGAGAAAATTAATTTCGGGAAGCGGCACGTTGTGATGATGCATGGGAAACTGGATATAAGGACATGACATCCGTATTAATTTCAGGGTTTGAAGGAGCAGGATACACGGTGTAAGCTGTGTAAGGAACCTTATTATTGACTGTATATAGTTTACTTTCTAAAGATCCGATAATTCCCCTAGCCCCAAAAAATAATGCGTGCAATTGTGAAAAAAAAACAAACCAAAAAAATAACAAAATGAAATAAAAATCAAAATGAAGAACAAAAAAATTACAGACGAAAGAAACTCGAAGGCTGAAAATAAATAAATAAATAAAGAGCAAAATCGTGCTCCGACAATTTTCTTATTTGACTGCGCTTGAGACCAACCGGAAAGGAGTCACTTGTAGGTGTGGTCTCATCCATTTCCGTTCACGAGGAAGAAGGCTCTAACCTAGCAGTTGAAAATCAAGTCAAACGAAGGACCTACTGTAGTATCTCTAAATAATAAAGGACGATAGACCCAAAAAAAGGATTTTAAAAATAACACGAGTGGCCACACGAGTGGTTTTCTCCGCTCAGCGACGAAACGAACGTTATCACCAGGCGTTCCAATAGTGATGGACGCGTGGGCATGGGTCTAAAACGAATCAGTGATTTCAGGTCAAAGTATGGAGTGTGGTGAAAATGTGGAAGGTGGTCGTACTTCGCCGTCTGGCAACTTAAGTTCTCCGCGAGAACGTTCGAATAGTGATCCAGGTCGACCAGAAAGAACAATTGTAATGAATGGAGGCAATACTGTGCCCACAAGAAGGGCGCCAACCTTTTTAAATGCTGCGGAAGTTGATAGTTCTAACGTTCATGGTGCCCGCTCCAGCCCAGCTACACCTCCTCCAGAACGACGCAACAAACTAGCTTTTAGTATCAGCAGATTATTTCGTCCGTGGAAATGGCGAAAGAGAAAGAAAAGCCAGAAGTTTATTTCAACCTCGCAAAGTAAGAGATAGTCATTTCACTTCCTTCTTTGTTGGTTGATTCTCACTGATGACAGAAATTGATTAAGTGTAATGCACTGCTCGCTGATGAAAATTTAGAAAACGTTAATTTCGTCTTCATGGGAATAAGCGTAAGCTTATAATAACTCAATCCTTCAACAGGACTTGATCCAATTCATATTGGATTGCTTGCTTGCTTATAAAAGATACAAAGGCGTTGTTAATTATTAAGGTTAAGTGTCCAAGGAAGCGGGCTTGTCTTCGTTTCCTTACATCTCCTCTCTTTTTTTGCATTTACGTGGGTAACGCACAAATATTTATGTTTGACATACATTGCCACGCTCGTCAGTAGAGTACCTCAGGCGAAGAAAATGTGTTAGAATTTTCGTGTATTAAATTATCAGTTTGAATTCCGGGCAAAGCGCAAAGACGCGTAATATTTATGAGAGCGAATTCACAAATTGAAAGTGTCCATTTGGTACGATGAACGCTGAAGCTGAGCAAATTTTCCCTCGAACTCCTGTTGTGCACGGTATCGAAGTGATCTTACCCTGGACGGTTTGCATCCTGGGGTGTTAAATTTTGAAATATCAGCCGCAAAAGGTTTATTCTTGTATGATAATTTCAAATTCATCAGGAAAATCACACATTTATTTTATCGAAGTTAAATATCTGAGAACAGGTTTGTATGAATCCTGTTTCGATAGGTGATTGATTACCTGCAGTAATATGAAATTTTAAGAAGTCGTAGCCTTTTCGATCGTACATTCCAACTGCTTGGTTCTGGTTGTGTTTATACTCATGCCTATGGATTAATTAATCACGCAGAATCAAAGCGTCTTGAATACTTGTTGTTTTGAAAGAATCTTGATATAGTTAGAGGTCAATGATATATCTGTTAGGTCGCCACTACACGATACTAAGACTGCTAATTCTCTTTAATCCCAGTTGTCTTGTTCTAGATTATTGAAAGTTTGATTCGAAAAATTTTCTCAGTTGTCTTGGTCTTTATGCTATTTATTTCTGCCAAGAAATATTTTGACATTATTTGTTGTTGCATAGTCCATTTTTCTGGTGGAGCTCTCTGTCTCCAAGCAACTGCTTTAAAGAACTATTTTGATGTGTGCAAATCATGATCCATTGGATTGAGCTTAACAGATAGCTAATCATTTGGATAGATCTCTTCTAGAGATCTACTAGGGATATTAACAATTATTGCCTTGTCTGGAGCTTTATTGGATTTTTAAATGAAATCATTCAAAAATAACAGGATTATATTGAAACTTAGTACTCATGGGATTATGTGATTTGTATGTCATATTTTCATTATTTTGAGCAAAAGACAATTTCTTTCTTGAAGTAACAGTGCTATGAAATAACAGATATATGCACGCCACCAAAATTTTTGATAAATAATAAGGTCAGAGACAGCAAGCAAAAAGAAGGACTGAAGTTTATTTCACTTTATCTGAACTATCCTTTTACAGTATTCCAATAAAGAACCTTGCTTGTTCAAAGACATTTTGTGGTAAATCAGTATCAATATATTTCTCTCATTCCACCTGTTGCCAGAATTTTTTCTTTTGGCAGGAGATTTTTGGATACTACATACAATAATGCTCAAATTAGTTTTCAGCTTCAAACACTGGTACCTCCTTTAGGCTAAAAATGTTAATTATTTGCCCCCTGTGAAAAAAAAACAACCAATCCTGTCATTGTCTACGGAGGGTGTAAATTGCAGGTTACAGGTTGTAAGTTGCATAGTGGCAACTTACAGAATGCTTTAGGAGCACTTTATGGGTACTTTTTTGAGAACAAATAATGTAAAGTCATTGTTGTATGTAGTAAAAAAGTTTGTGTTATGTATAAGCTGCACAAATTGAGTTTGAGCCACAAAATTGCTTTTTTTCTCTTGCTTTTGATTGGTTAGTCTGTATGTCATGTTTTCCTGTTTATTGTTACAGGTTTTGTTCTTTTAAATCAAGACAATGTGACCTCCCCTTTCTTGAACTTTGAAAACTTAATATCCCTGGTTGCTTATTATGTAGACATTATTGAGTGAAGCTAAGTAGGATATGAAGAATTCTGCAGAGCGAGGTGGATAACACTCTCTGAGATCTGCAGAATTCTACATATCCTACGAATGCAGAATTCAATAATTACTTTATTGTTCATTCAAAATAGTTCAAGTTTAAAAACAAGCTAAAACATTCTTACCTCCGTCGATCTATGTTAACTGATAGTGCATCTTTGTCGGGAAGTTTAGGAGATAAAGGGCTCTTAAGGTCTGCAAATATACTCCAAATAGCAAATGTCGTTCTTGGCTTTGTCTTCTTGCTGTTCTTGCTATGGTCTTAGACAATAGTTCGCCTTGAAACGGGTAAAAAGTTTCACTGTTACTCACTTTGAAAACAACTCACTCATCCCCAGGTCTTCTCGGTTAATGGTTCAATAATCTGCAACTTTGCTGCTCTTTTGACATCACCGGTTCAATATGACAAAATTCTTCCAGATTTAGTCAACAGTAGCTGGTTATGATGAATTGTGTGTGTGATTTTAGCCAATCAGAAATGAAAAAATATTTGGAATGAATAATAATGCATAATATTTCTGGCTAACATTGTTATAAAGTTCAGCCTAAGCAAAAATGGATTTGGATGTTTGAACATATTAATTTATTAAGTGACTTTTCCTGTCATTGTTCAGAGGAACTCGACCTAAATGACAACAATCACAGTTTTATTCAAAATATGAGTAATAAAGTTATTGGAAAGCTTTTCACCCACTTGTCATATAAGCCATAGTCAAGGTGCACTTAAGAGGAAAAGTTTCAAATTTACTAGACTGAAATCATGTACAAACAATCATTTCTTGGTTTTGCTGTGCAAAGATTAGGCCTGTCTACCAATCTCTTTTTGAGTATTAAGAATTAGCATTGTTGTTGTTTTTTGATTGAGTTTTCCTCCGACTGCTGTTAATTATTTTTTTATTCCTATTGTTTCTTTACAGATCTGGAGAGAAAACTGTCTATGCGTACAAACAAAGAGGAGTTGATTAGAAAAGGAATTCTTCCTGTGACAATTGAAGGTAATATTCTTTAAGATGATTAAGACTCATGTGAGAAGTTCTAAATTTTTCGATAATTTAGTTATTAATGTTTAAAGCCATCAACAATAGAAGCCGCAATTGAGCCTGCAAGGTGACCATGACAACCCTGGTAGCAACACCCACCAGACACCATCACACTGAGAAATGTTGAATACATTGACTCTATTAAGTGGACACCTTCGGGACCTTCCCAAGTGTCTGCTTAATAGAGGTTTGTAAAAACTGGAAATTTTTGTGTATGATTAACATTCAAAAGTTAGGCTGTACTGTGATAAAGTTCCATGTTGTTAAGGACCCTAAGAAAGCTGTGCTGTACTTTGTGCAAGACATTTACAGTGCAGGCCAGAATTAAGTGAACAACGCAGACGTGATGCAGATACATAAACGTGTCAGCTTGGACGCATCAACGCATCAGCGCTGACGCGTACATAAGTCAGATGAACGCGTCAGGCAGGAAAGATTTGTCTTTTGTTACACTTATGTCCAGAAATGCATGCAATGGCGAAAATGGCGAAACTGGCGAAAAATCGCCAGCTGCTGGCGATTTGAATTGGATGCCAAAAGTGGCCCCTTGGAGGCTGGCGATTTTGGCGAAAATGGCGATTTTGGCGAAATTGGCGATTTTGGCAAAAATCGCCATGCATGCAATGGCGAAACTGGTGAAAAATCACCAGCCTCTGGCGATTTGAATTGGATGCCAAAAGTGGCCCCTTGGAGGCTGGCGATTTTTGGCGAAAATGGCGATTTTGGCAAAAATCGCCAGAGGGCTGGCAATATGTGGCAAAATATTCAAATTGGATGCCAAAAGTGGCCCCTTCAAAGTAGATAACTAAAGAGGTCCTTATAACTGTGAGGCAACAGTACTAAAAAAAAAGTTCAAATTACTTGCCTAATAAGAGGCCCCAATAACTGTGAGGCAACATTTATCAAATACAACTGAATCAAATATATGACAAAACAGCTTTACCTAACTTTCAAACGACATTATTTTATTAAATACAAGTGAATCAAATATATCTGAAAACAACAAATGGAAGTCGTTTCAGTTAAGCTAATATGTATTTGTGCCATGTACTTCACAGGTTAAGTAAACATTTCCTTACTTTCGATGTCGCTTGACTTACCAAAAGTGATGTGATGCACTGAAATATCACACTAGCATCATTTGCCTTTGTATGGTTCATTCATTTCAAAGACTTACAAGTCCACTAATTACTCGAGGAGAGAACTACCAAGTCCGTGAAATCATAATAATTCCTTGCCATGGACACTCTAACTTTTGAGGTTCGATGTAGACCTTAACAATCCTCACTGGTTACAATTCTCTTCACATTGGTTCCATTAAATTGTGAGGCAGCCTTAAATCAAAAGCGATTGCAAACGCATGGTTCCTGGCTAAAAGATGCTTTCACGATAACCATTGTGCGCCCTTCATTCTTTTTTGGTTCTCCACTATACACATTATCTTCTTCCGTCGTTTTTAAACTCTTCACTTTCTTCTCGCTGTCCAGCAGCTTGCATGCGCCATTCTGAAATGTGAGAATTCGCTTATTTCCACTTTATGTAAACCTGCACGAAATGTCACGTGTGCCCCATATTTCACCGCATTTATTGAACATAAACATTGGATCAAAGTAATAACTTGTTTGTGTCTTTCATAAAACATATCCCATTCAAACTAATTCTGTATCTTTTCATCAACCTAGATATATAAAAAAAAGAGTGTACATGTTTGTCTCGTTCTAAAAAAAATGTTTCCCATTATTGCTTTATGAGGTGGGGCCAGAAATTTAGAAAATGTATTTTTTTGCGCTGAGACCACCAAACCAATTCTCAGTACAATATGTTTTCCATTAAAGACTAATGCTAACTCGTTGAAAACCACCCGCCTTTTTACCTTCTATTTTAACAATTGCCTGATATGCTTTTTTAGAGTGACCACCAAAATGGGAATGAAATTGTTTCCACTTACATAAAGTAGTTATCCAAAATCAACTATTTCAAATGGCCGCCGCATCTATATAACAACTACTTAAACCTTACATGTTCATGTTCTGTGAAACTGCAATGAACCAGCTCGCCTTTTTACCATTATAACAAACAGGATGGATATTTTACCATCTAATTATCTGAATGTGAGCCAAGAATCAACCTGATTCCTCATAACATATAATGTTGAACTGTCGCTATTCAAACAATGCCTACAAGCCTGGAAAATTAAGGATACCTAAGTTTTTGGTAAGAAAGTTGCCATGAACATTTTAAGATTACCATTTACTGATAATCGAATTTCTGGCCATTTGATTTGAATTGAGCAAAGAAATTAGTTATAAGTGGTAAGTCCGACCAAACACTCTTGTCTGGAGGTAATTTCAAATCCAAGAGGTTATCAATTAAAGGTAAAAGCATTAAAAACAGATTAATGACACACAGTAGCGTTGTTAATTTACAAAAAGATTGAAATTATATGAGGTGAAATTATACTATGTCAAAACATTTTATATTAATATGTGCTTACTATTTACAGATAACAGCCATTTCATAACATTTGAGATTGTCCATTTCTGCCAAAAACACGTTTTTTTTTACCGTTTTTAACCAAAAAAACCAGTTCCCAAAAATATTCCATAACGCCCTTTACAGATTTCTGGCATTTTTAAACTTCCCATCTCATTTGAACAGTTTCGAGGCAGCATTTTGTAGCCAAAAATTGCCACTTTCCAGTAAACGAATTTTGTTTGAAGAACATTTCTGCCAGTGCTGAGAAATCATGCTTTGCAATCTCATTTGAAAATAGGTATTTTGGTGATTAATTACCATTTCATTGCTATGACAATTTTCCGATGACATTGCAACCCTGATCATTTAACAAAATTTTCATCTTCATCTATTTTCGCCAAAACAACTTTGGTGTCAATTTTTCCAAATCTTTGTTTATGGCGATGTAGTTTACGCATCTCAAACGGGAGGTATTGACCCTGAAAAACTGTAGGGCCCCCCGAGCCATCTCATTTGAATTTTTGTTTTAACATTCAACAGTTAGGCTGTACTGTGATAAAGTTCCATGTTGTTAAGGACCCTAAGAAAGCATTTGTGCTGTACTTTGTGCAAGACATTTTGCAGGCCAGAATTATGAACAACGCAGACGCCGATTTTGCAGATACATAAACGTGTTCAAAGGGCTTGGAGTAGTTTGCATCAATGCATCAGCGCTGACGCATTTTGCCAAAATCGCCACTTAGCAAAGGGCCCTTTGCCATCTCATTTGAATTTTTGTTTAAGTCAGATGAACACGTCAGGCAGGAAAGATTTGTCTTTTGTTATGCACTATAACAACTTTGCTTCATGTGGCATTGTTATGATAAACAAAACAAATTCTCAGGTTTGAGGTAGCTCAATAATCCCTTGTTTAATTAAGTGCACGAAGGACATACATCGAAATAAATTCCGTGACGTGGTTTCCGCTTTATATTATGCATTAATTTGTCAGAAGAACACCAGCTGTTTTTAGAAACTTGATCTGAAATTTGTGTTAGAACTTTTTATCATAGACTCGATGTGTAATTTTTAAATCAAAAGGTCTCTGTTTTATCTTCCCAGTGAAAGAGTAATCTCTCACTGCACTGTCAACCCAGGCTGTCGAGCACGCGCGATTATCACATGTCACTGCTGGTGTGTTCTAAAATTAACACTATTTTGATAGTGGTAGTGCTGGAAGTTTAATATTTGGAGCTTCTCGAAAACTTTTTGAGCATTTACGTGAAAACCTGAAATAATATAGTAAACACGCCTCTTCAGTTGAAGTTTCATTGATGTCTCTACAAACACTGACAGCAACAACAAGAAAGGAAAAATTGTTGTCTTCAAGTGTGCACCACCAAGACTTGGATAAATAATGTCCATTGCTTGTCATTGTGGCGTTGCAAATGAAAATTTTTGCTCGGTTTTGCTTCTACAAGGGCAAGCTAAATTTAATATCCCTCTCAATTTTCAAGCACTCGCCGCGTCGGCCAGACGACAAGCCCTAGTAATGCGGTGCGGAGGACTATAATATTTGTAACATCTCCAGATCTGTTGGGTCTTGAAAGTTCGTATTCAAACGTTCCAGCAATCCTTTTTAGTTTTAAAGACTTGATTTCATGACAAAAGCTTCATCGATGCACATGGCAGTCTACTAACTATAGTCTCAACATCAACAAGGAAGATCTTGTTTTTGGCTTTTGATATCCACCGCCGTAGCCAGTATGAGGCGAACCGAGGCACTTGTCTCTGTAAAATTTTATGAAATACTGTCGATTTTTATTTTTTTTATCAGACTGATAATATTAGAAGATTTCATATGGCTGATTTCGTACAACGGACCGTGTGTTCGCCTCGGTTGTAGTTTCTTCCTGGCTACGGCCCTGATATCGATTGTGATTTCTCTGATGTGGACCGCAGTCCCGCGAAAAGAAGAAAATAAAATGTCACACATTCCGTTTCTTTTGAGAGCTGGAAATTTTAACTCAAATTCATGACCATCTACTCCACATTCTAATAGCTAAATGGGAAGATTCTTGTGTTATTGGTGTTTTCTTCGGCGTCTCTTGTGTTTGTTGTGAGTGAGTTCACGATTTGCAAAATGATTATTGCTACATGATAAGTAAAGAATTAAATGCAAAATTGTCTTATCTCCAGTGTAATTAAAGTGTAACGTATTTGTAGTTTAAACGTATGTACATTATTTCGCTAGAATACTTTGGAGATATGTTTCAATGGAAATCTGTTGTAAGTTCCGTGTCGCATGTTGCATGTAAAATATTTTTAGCGTGTGCCGATCCAGCAGTTTCTTGCTTGTCGGTGAAACATTTACACCTGTAAACAAAGAGATAGCTCATACATACTAATGAGACTAAATGTGCACTAAATGCATTTCAGAGCAGACGTGTCAGTGTGTCAGCCTGATGCATGTTTGCGTCTGGCCCGACGCATGGACTTGTTTTTCCAGACCTGTATTATGCATATATTTTGGTTTGCTTAATTCTGGCCTGCATTCTAGGTGAACTTTGATCGTGGATGACAATCATATGGCCGGATAGTGGTCTAATCTACAAATTATTGACAGCTAAATGTATTGATTTATCTTTATTAGTGGACTACAGTACGTATTTCAAGGACGTAATCCAATACTGCTATTGTCAATTCAGTCCGGTGTCCTCTTAATAGAGGTTTTTAACAATAGAAGTTAGACAAATACAATTTATTTTAGTGTCCGTGTCCGCTTAATAGAGGTGTCCGCTGAATAGGAGTTCATTTTAAAGGGAAATATAAGATGTTTATTTCTGGTCCGGGCTTAGTGTCCGCTTACTAGAGGGTGTTGGCTTTATTGGGGCTCCCCTTAATAGAGGTTTCACTGTACTTACTAAAAAATATCCAGAGGAAAGGGTGGGGGGTTGTGAGCAAAAACAGCGAAAGCTACATTTACTGCAGACAAAAGCAGGGGGAGTAAAATGATTGACTTCAGCAAAAGAACTGGAAGATTTCTAAATCCCTGCTAAAGTCTATGACCACCCCACTTACGCCAACATTAATAAGTTGACTGGTCACAACACCAAACATTGCCCATGCTGAAATATCAGAGCCACTGCATCTTTAACTAAGTGACTTTTCATATCTTTAGATTGTGACTGTCCAAATGGGTAACCATATCACAGGTCAAACAGGTCAATTTTGATTTAACCTACTTCTAGCCCTAGTAGACAAAAGAAAATTGTGACTTACCCTGGTACAAAAATTTAATCTGATCAAATTAAATTCGACATGTACAATGTAACAACTCTTATATCTGCTATTTGTTCATCAGTGTTTGTGTTTGATAACTGGATGCCTTTAAATACTGGACCTGAGCTAGAACCAAAAATCAAGTTGTACTTCAGTTGGAAATGTTGATACAGTGACCTGCTCAGTGAGGGGAGAAAAAATTGGTCTCTAAGAAAACGTTTTTGACCAGTTTAAACTGACCTTACTAGGGAAAACAACCCTTGACTTTCATTACAGATTTTTTTCCTGGGCATTTAAAAGGCTTTATTTTGGTGGAAAATTGTTTGAGAAAACTTCTAGGATTTTAGGAATAGTTTGAAGGAAGTGGTAAAGTGGGACACGATTTTTGAGTCATTCTTACTTGCTTTTTTGTGTATACTTTCTCTGGCGGTTTTGACTAAATTTGCTCATTTGCTTATGATTGAAATATCCCATCACCCTGCACTAATTAAATTTAAGTGTTGTCTGTGACCGTTAAAACTGATGATGTCACACATGGTACAAGAGATATCAGAATCCACATAAGCTGTTACAGGTTTCAATAGGTTAAACCTAGAAAATAAACAAAAAGAAACTGTTAGATTATTATGAATCCCTTCCATTTAGATTTGTTATCCAATGAATGCTTTATTAATGTTTTATGTATTATTTTATGTCAGTGAAGGTTACTTTACTTACAGCTGTCTACAAGGCTAATTTATTGCTGCTCAATGAACATTTTCAATGGCTCTTTGCAGCTGTAGTTAATAACAATGTCTTATGCAGGGATGTCACTACATTTAGGTTTATAAATTCATAGAAGGGGCAATTTGTGTCTTTAATAGCCAGGGGAAATCCATGGTTCCCAGTCCTCAGCCGTTAGCCCTTTTTTTTTTTAGGCAGAGTGATAATAAACCATTTTACAGTTTTGGGCAAACTTAGTAACCTAGCCTCTAAGCCAATATGAGGCTAAGATTGGCCTTGTTTTAATACAAACCTCCTTTCATTTGTTATGGAAATTTTGCAAAAAATTTCCAGTTAAAAGGAGAACATTATGTTTTGCATATTAAAGGAGAAAGGGTCATTGATGTCAAAAAAATGGTCAACTCTAGCCTCATTGTCAGCTGTCACTGTAAAATGGCTTATTAACACACTATGACAAATGCATTGTTTTTTTTTCAGAAAAGGAAAATGAGAATGGTGAAGCAATGGATGGTCAGTGTAATGGTCCTTCTACTGCAAATAAGATTTCTCCTGAGAATGATGCTTCGCAACAGCCGCCTCTAACACAGCAAGGAAATTTGTTCACAAGCAGAGAAGTGAAGAAAGATCTGCCAGTGAAACAGCTGGACAAAATGAGTATGATGGATCAATTAACACAGGAGCTAGGTAAAAAACAGAAGCTGTATCAGCTCAAACAGCTAGTCACAAGCTGCTGCAATATTGTTTCAACAATTTTTATTGTTTGAGAGTTTCAGTCGACTAAGAGTTGAGACACAAAGCACATTCTTCTGAGTTTTTAATGATCAGAAGCTTTAGTCTTTATACAAGTAGATATGTGGAACTGTTATCTTTTGTTTTCTTTGATCAATACTTGAGAAGGCATAGATGTAGATGCCATAAACCTTGATTTACTGGTTTACTGTGGTTTTCTTGAACTAAAACTGAAACAACAGAAACAAAATGGATTGTACCTTGACAAACTAACTTGATGTTAAATTGATAAACATTGTGTACGTGTGTGTGTTGGGAAAAGTACTTGTAACAAATTCAGACAAGGCTGTGCTCTAGCAAAGCCTAACTATTGTTCCTGGGTGACTAAAAAATCTTACATGAATAAAATAGAAATCATATGCCGGGCACCCTGAATTTTGCAGGTTCAGCAAACTAAGCTTCCTTCAATTTTTCTTAGAGCACAGTCTTGTCAGACCTTGTGGACAATAGAGTGCATTCTTGATATCAGGTCTCTAATTTTGTATCTTGATGTTTAGCTCGACGGAATACAGGAGAGAGTTCAACAATTGAAAAAACCATCCTCAAGACACAGAATAATAGACACTGTACCACCAACACCCAACATCCCAGGTAGACTATCATGAGTTCCATTATTGAACAGTTGACTTTCTTTTTTGTACTTCTTTTTAGGCTGCCAATTGAACAATCAAATGACACCGTTCTAGGTTGAGGGCTGGTGCACAATATACCAAGTGAATAACAAGAGTTAATCACAAAGAAAACACAATGATCTCTAGCCCTTACCAGAAACTCATAAGGGGTTGAAATGTGTAACTCTCATATGTTTGCTTTGTCCGATGCTCGTGATTATTCATTTTCAAAAGTACCATATTTGGAATGAGAAGAAGAGGTGACTGACCAATCAAACTTCGTAAACAACATGACGTAATTTCACTTCAGGTTCCCGCGCCCGGTTAAAAAAATGGCCGACAAATGGGGGGAAAACTCCCAAAAGCCGAGAAAGCTCTCAAAGGTTGAAACCAGGAATCTTACCGAAACACTGAGCAGGATATTATTGCCATAACACCCGGGCTAAACGTAACATTATGAAACCCATTGACGTCCTCGCAAGTACTTGAAGTTGTCACTTCAAAAAACGATGCCTCGTTGACCCTCTTCACAGTGAACTTATGCTGCAAATAGGCTTTTAAAATTCTTACATTAAAAGTCTAGAATAAACAGTAAAAAATATTTTCGAATAAAATTCATTAGCTGCATAACGAAAAGTGCCAAAACCTGAACCTGACATCTTCCCAAAAAGTGATGCGTGTAATGAATCTGAGAAGCATTTAAGCTTAAATTCAGCTTGGATGTTGTAGTCACGATCGTGTTTTTTTATGAATGAACAAACTCAAAACAATAGACAAAGAAGCTGTTTCTTGAAAATTTTTATTCAAAGTCCAAAAAGTTAATCCTTTAAAGCAATTCGGAAAAACACTATCTGGATCGTGGATCCGTTCACGCAAGTGAGCACATGGCAAAATTCAACACAAAATCCATCTCAAATCGGAGCACATTTTGTAATTTTCCTCTAAAGCGCCGAAGAGAAAAATTTATAAAACGTCTATGAAACATTTAAAAATACATAAATCCCCTTTCAAAAACGTAATTGTCTTGGCCATAGAGTGCAAAATGTACCTGAAAATTCAGCAAAAACTTCTTCCTTGGTTGCATTTCAAAGATGACCATGCACTCCGTCGTGAAGAAAACAAGGTTGAATTTCTAGAAGGACGATTTCTTGATGAAAAGCTTCCCTTCCTCCACAAAAAGAAAGCTGAGCATTCTTTTGAACTTTCTCTTTCCATTTTTTGTCTTTTAACGGTGTATTTTTAACCCTGAAATGCAGAACTCTTGTCTTAAAGCATCTGCATGGTGATCGCACGGCAGCCATTTGTTGAAAATGGATATCTGTCACTAAGGTTTCCAAATATGGTAAAAGTGAATATTCACGAGCATTGAACTCGAGTTACACGTCTCAACCCCTTACGAGTTTCTGCCCTTACTCAATAACATAATAAACTTCACACAACAGAACATCCCAGTTGTTGTGGCGGGAAGGGGGAGTGTTGTGGGTGGAGGTGGGTGCATATTCCAGACTGGGCACTTGTTTTTCCTGAGTGGAGGGGGTGTCTGTACACAGGCTAATATAAAATCCCTATCTCAATGTTCAAAATAAGTTACCAGTAAGTAACTTTCCTTTGTTCATTCATGATACTTCAGGTTTGTGGTAGTTCAAAGTGTTGGCAAGGATAGTAACAGACATGAAGGCCAAGAGGAAGAAACCAGATGGCCTGGGAGTGTAACACATGATAGTAGCAGCTATTCCAGCTCTGATGAAGAAGAGGAAACACATGGTGTTGTTACAGGTAATATCGCTTTAATATGACTTGTGACTTGTACAGCGTGCAAAGAAAGTAGTCATGTGTCTGATAACCTGGGGCTAGTTGATTTTGTTATCGGGCTAGTGATTTCTATTCTTAACTTGAACGATAGGCAAATGAAGTTTTTTGAGGGAATTCAAATCAAAGACGAACTGTAACCAATGCTCATCAAAAATTTTTTTTCAGGCTAGTTGAAATGCCTTTTGGGCTAGTACATGCTAGCTACAACTTGCCCGAATGGCAAGCTTCAAAACTGGCTTTCTTTGCACCCTGCTTGGACCTGGTTGCACCTGATCTTTTGTTTCTCTGCTAAGTAATCAACAGTATAGGCCTGTTCAAAATATACTTTGTAATACTCTTCAATGCAAGGCTTAACCTGATGAGCAAATAAGACACTGCAACAATCAGGCTTAGATGAAGCACTACCCAAAATGATGTTGAAATATGACAGTAATATTCTGTTATTTCCTACAGTGGCCTATTGATGTGCCATATAATATGAATTTAGAAGGTCATTGCTATGGTAAAATTAAGTGAATTCATTATGCAAATTAAAAATCAGTCCTCTAGATAAATTTGATTTTGCATATGACATTTGAAATTTTGAACAGAGAGCTTGTTTAGAATAAATCTTATTATTATATCTTTTTTATTGGTATGTAACTTAAGATGACTGGAAAAAATGAAATAGATCATCATGTCACTGAAGACATAAAGGCAGGGCTTCAAATAATGGCCAGTCAATGGACAATGTCCAGTCAGAATTGGGTATTGAACGGACGAATCCTTGGATTGCAGTACATGTTGTCCAATTATTTACTCGTTCAAAGAAATTTTCATTCTTTACTACTTGATAAGAAAGAGGGACAACATTTATGTTTCTGAAAGAAAAATAAAGTGAAACTAGACAAATTGTGACCCTATTTGGGAAAAGCGGGCTTAACGAAAATTGCGTTGAGCCGTTTTTTATCGCAACGCATTTGGAAACGGAATGCATTGGCGAACATTCTTAATGCATTTGAAAGCGTTGGCAATGTTCTCCAACGGAACTAAGAAACGTTCAGTATCGTTTCAAAATCATTTCAAAACATTTGGAAAACGTTTTCGAACGTTGAAAATGCATTTAATGGAACATCATTAATTCGTTGCAATGGGAAACATTCACCAAACATTCTAACATTGTCAACGACTGAGTTACAAAAGCTCCAAACTGTCAGGCTTGCTCCATCATTCGAAAATTTAAAGCCACTGTCATAAATAAAGTGATAAAACGTTTAAAACTTCACAGCGTGAGAAATGTTCGATCCGAAGAATCAATAATTTGTTCCATTTTCGGTTTTTAAGTCTGTGTTATTAAAGAGGGCAAAAAAGAGGGGAATTAAATTTGAAAGCACGCGTTGTCGAAAGTGTTATAGGTCTGAATTTATTTTATGCTGTTCTTTCAGTGTTACGGCGGTGTGCGTGCTTGTGACTACCTTGTTTGATAGCTCCCTGTAAAATTAACAGATATCAGATGCTTGATATGGGTCGCTGATTTTAAGACTAAAATATACCAAATTTCTACCGGGGGAGTTGTACTATTTACCGACTTTTCCTTCTTCCCGTGTTTCCGGTTTTTTTGCTCGGGGATTCAATAAATTCAACCAGTTCAGTCACGGAACACCCTGGCAAACGCTAGACATTGTATCCTTTAAAAGCAAAAACCTGAAAACGTGACATTCTTCACAAAAAATTCATGGTTTTTATCTGTACCAGTCAGCTGTTATGAAGATGTCAAAATTTATGATCACGAATATTTTCTGATCAAAGCTTGTTGCGTGACACTACCGTCATCACGGCTCAAGGGTTTGGAAAGGTCAACGCGGTAATGTTTTCCGTATTACTGTTTTGATTTTTATGGTGTTTTTTTTTTTCACTGATTCTTCAATGGACTGCATGGCTCGCATGACTCGCTGGCTCTCATTTTATACACATACAGCACACTTTTTGGCAGATTTCTTTGCCATCATCGCTCGATTAACGTTGCAAGCGCGCAATGTGGTTGTCGCTTTTAATCTCTAAAATCTTCTGCTTGCAATCGTCGCGACTTCAATTTCGTCGGAATTACTGAAGTACTATTTTTCTCACCTTTGGTCTCGCTCTCTCCCAATTTTTTCGTCTTGTATCTTTTCCCTGAGGGATTTTGGAGCCGGAACAGATTAATTTTGAAAGGGATGTGAGAATTAACCGACTGCAAGCAGTCTAGCACGCCGCTGACAAAGGTAGAAAAGGGCAAAAAATTGGCAACCCCAAAATTCTGTCAGCCAGCTACGTACAAAAAGAAATGCACAACCTGAACAGTCAGCCTTACAGTTTTAAGAAACGTCTCAAGAACTTCTCTCCTTTATTTCCAGATTTGAAAGTCCAAGAAAGTAATGTCATGCTTTTCTCAATTACCTCTTGACATGTTACAACCTGAAACAACATCAAACACACGCAATGTCACAAAGATCAAAGTTCTATGCAAATTGATTTGAACCGATCGAGAACAAAAAGTAAAAGCCTTTGTTTTCCATTGCGAATTCATGTCGTTATTCCCGTTGATATTACTGTTATATGGAGGTATCATTACTGTTCCTGACAAAAGTTGTATTTTCAAAGAACGTTCTCAAGCGTATCGATGTCTAATCATCAGTGGCTTCAATTAATGTTAATTTTTCGCATCCTGGGTTGAACTTCAGGAACTAATTTTATCGATAAAAAAAAAACGTTTGGAAGCATTGCCAATGCATTGAACAACGTTGGAAAAACATTCTAAAACGTTGGAAAAACATTTAAAAACGTTGAAAACAATTGCCTGCGTTTGAAGGAAAACGTTGTAAATGCGTTGAGAATCATTGGAATCCGTTTCAATGCATTGTAACGCATTCAAAATGCGTTGAAATGCTTTTCAACGCAAATTTCATTAAGCCCGGTTTTTCCAAATAGGGTCACAATTAACGGTTAAGAAATTCCCAGTAGTCACAAATTTCCACGATGTCTTCTCAAACTCATTAATTATTCATGTAATGATGACCCCAGCAGCTTGCATCAATTGAGTCAGGTGCATGTATTTTGATACTTAATGAACATGCCAATCAAGACACATTCGATTAGTTCACTTCTCTCAGAATGTTGCTTCTTCTTGCTCACTCACAAACTCCTTCTCCTCCTTCTTGCACTTAATGTGAAGCCCTTCTCGAACGCCATCCTTCATCTCGGCATCTAAGCAACATTGGAACAAGACAAACCTTCGAAAAACAACACACCAAATTCAATTCCCAAAACAGTGCATTTTAAAATTCTGAACAATGCGGTCTAAAAGTCATCAATTACCTTTTGTCACTAGCGTCCAGAGGATTCAAAGCTTCGGATCCATTTTTCTCCTCCAAATAACGCTTGAGCACACAAATGATACCATAGACAGTCTTGGGAGGGTATCTTCCACCGAACTTTTTAGCTACCTCCATCACTAATTTTGACAACCAATAGTTCAGCAACGGAGCATCCATTCTGGCAATATCTGCGCTCAGAGCGGTAACCTTGTGTAAATCGTAGTCCTTGAAGAGACCACCACAATCTAATACAGGAACTTGAACCCCTCTTAACCTCTGCCATTCACCAAAAATGGTCACAGCCCATTTGTTTTTATACTTAGTTGAAGCTGGAACGGCGTCATTCACCAGAACATTTTCTTGAAAAGAAGTTTTAGGAACGCGAAATCTTTCTGATTTGGACTCAACCTCCATCACGTGCCGTAATGTTAATCCACTGAAAAACCCGCCAGCATGGCCGCATATTAAATATTCATTTCATTTGCCACGAATAAGAAACAAACAATAGCCTATTGAGCACGTCTTGTAATTACCTATTCTTCGGAAATAATTCCACTAAATTCTCACACTAGTTTCAGAAGCCAGCTCAAAAACTTGTGCTTCGGTTTTCATCAGGGGTTTCAAACACCTCGAAACTTTAAAAGCACTCCGCCTTTGGTGGCGTGCTTTCATCCGTTTCTTGATGTTTGGAACCCCTGATGAAAACCTCGCACTCATTTTTGATCCATTACATAAACTCCTATTGCAATGCAAATTATCATGTCTTCCGTTATTTTGTTTACTTTAGGTGTTCCCAATTAGTGGACAGTTTTACCTTCGGCTAGGTACCTTTGACTGTTAAATCAAGTGATTGATTGCCCAAACTAAAACAAAACGATACATTTATTAAGCCTTTTCACTCCTAGACAACATTAAAAAGTTAAAGAGAACAAACCATATGTCACTTCACCCTACAAAACATGCTTGGGTACAAAGCTTTCTGGTGATTTCATCACTCGATGCATCTCAAAACTGGAGGGTAAAACACACAAAGTGGTAGAATAAGGTTGTCTTTCAAGTATGGTAAATGGAAGAAAGACAGCTAGTGCAACAATTGTACTTGGAATAAGACGCCATGCACTTTATACATACAGTGCTGCTGAATTTCAAAAACGCAAGATAATATGCTTATCTTTACATTTTAGTTAGCTTCTTTTTTCATATTAAGTAAGAGATCAATCCAATCCTTCGGCTTTCTTATATTTTACACATTTTATTTTAAATGTAGTTGTAGAAACAATGTGTAAGTGATTTTGCCAGGTGTAAACAAACGATTGTGGTTGTATCTTGCGTAACCATTCCACATATGCTAGCAGAGAATAGTAACACTATTAACTTGTAATTTGTATTGCCTAACTGACTTGGACTCATCAGGTTTTTAGTTAAAAAAAGGTTTAGTACATACAATCTGGGTTTACATGTACTATTCAGGGCTTCTGATAGGTCGCAGAAAAAAAAGTCAAATTTCGAGGGATTTTTAGGGACAAAATTGCGGAAAAATTGGCCGATTTTGCGGGAATTTTCGGGGCAAACTTGGCCGGAAGGCGATCGGTGAAAAAACTGCGGATTTTGAGGTTATTTTCGGGCAAATCTCGCTAGAAATCAATTGGTTTTACGCTGATCAGACCAGCGTTTTTAATGTTTTTCTAACAGAGGTCATCATTTGCTCTTTCAACAAAAATTCGCTCCAGAAATGAACCAATGGCAAAGCCTTTAACATCATGGCTAGTACCCAGTTTTTTGCAACATAATCTACGCCTGCTAGTTTCGGAATGTTCTTTGCTGATGAAGTTTTGACATAAATTTGCGAGTTTATGGCAAGTAAATATCCCCAGTAGCTGAGACAAGTTTCAAAATTGCTATTTCTACCGGATTTCACGCTATTTTGGGTGTTTTTGTGAATTTCGCGGGATTTTGTGGATTTACCTGAATTTCGTGGCTCTGCGACCACGCGAAATATCAGAAGCCCTGACTAATGCAAGAGTTATGTCTGTTGCAATTTGACTAGTCGTGTCCGAGCAAATGCATGTTTGACCTGAAAACATAACCGGTACCTGCCCGGCCGTTATTTGAAGTTCTGCATAAAGGGGGTCAGTTCAAAATAAAATTTTGTTTAGCAGACAAATTTATAAGGAGAGATAATTTACTGAAGTAAAGGCCTGTAATTTCATTCTGTCAATTCAGAATTTTTCCTCCTTGTTTAAGTGCTTGTGGTGAATTTATATTCAGGTTTAGTCTGTTGAAAAGTTAATTTTGTCTGGTGGAGTAATTTTTGCAGGAATGTATACAATAGAATATCAATTTCTTTAAGTGACATGTTTTTTAAAATTCCAAATAATTAAAAAACTGGGATTCCTCTGTTTGTGAAATTTCTAGTCTGTTTTGTCGCTGACTATGTTCATATGAAAACTGGATTTAAAAAAATATATCAAGAAATTCACCCAAATAAATTGCTCTTTATCCATGTTGTTTTCCAGGTCTAGCCTCCAAGCTGAAGAGGAAAGATAGTTTAGCTCTAAAGCTTAAAAGCCGACCAAGTCAAAGTGAACTTGAAGCCAGAAACATACTTCCAAGTAAGTCATGTTATGAAGCTTTTCAGCTGTTGATAGGTTTGTTTTGAAAGTGGATGATAACAATAATTTTATTTTTTTTTCTTTACCAATGAGACTTGTTAACAAAAGTGTTTAGAGATGAACTCCTACTTTTACCAATTTATTGTTTTGATTTAAAGTGTTTGTTTTAAAAACTGAGTTTCTTTGCTTTTCATCATAATAAGAGTAATCAAGTGCTTTGATTTCGATTCACCATAATGTGATTTGTAGTGGCAGTTTCTCTGTTACACTCATCATGTTTAAAACTTGAAATATTTTCTTCTTGGAAAGGTCTTTGAAGGTTTCCTGTACGTAAGATATTTTTATTACATTTATTTTCATGCTGTTAAAATCCTCTGACCTGAAACATTGTACATTTTGCTTAGGGGAGGTTTGTGCTTATACACTGTATAAAACACAACTTAAATTTTGGAAGAATTTCTGTTTGACTGGAGGTCGCTTAATTTTATTGTGGTACTGGTACAAAGGTGTTAAGAAATAAATCACAGATGAATTCCAGAAATCTGCAGTCATGTAATTATTGATGTTGATAATGGTTAAGTAATTGTGTCTATGGATCCTGTAGGGTTTCTTTTGTATTAATTTCCTTTAATCTGATAGGCTTAAAGTATTGATTAAAAGTAAGCAGCAAGTTTATTTCTTCTTTTTGGTACAAATTTTAATTAATATTCAGTTGATTTTACAGCATTTGATAAGTGATCTAATAAGTTCAGAAAGATTTTCAAAACCCTCTGTATAAGTTGGGAGGTAGGATCTGAAAGATATTTTCTTTCTGCATAAAATAGTAGCTTTTTAAACATATGACAGTGGTTCAAAAACACCTGTCTTAATGCTGATAGTTTCAATTAACCATCCTTCCAATTAGAAACAAACAGCTATTCTTTATTGCACCTGGTGTCTTGAACAAACTAAAAAATAATGTCATATTGCATGAATTATCTGTCTGATATCAGACAAGGTTTCTACATTTATGTCAAATTTTATCCCATATGATAGCCTAATGACCTGTCCTCAATTCTGGAGTATGTTGTTTATTCGACAAGTTGTCTCTTTAGTTGGGCAATCTCAGGCAGTGATTCTGGATTTAAGTAAGTGTGTGACAGACTCTTTCAGATAACCAGCTTTTTCCAATGTTAGCAGTTTAGTACAGTATATTCATATATTTTTAAAACAGATTGTGGCAAGGTTTTATTAATCATTAAGGTTAAGTGTGACAATCTTAACTCGAGTTCCTCTTGATGACCAATCTTTGTGTATATAAAACATATTCAGAAATTTTGACGACTCTATTGGTTTAATAATCATGATAGGTTTCTGATCTCAGTCTTAAGTTTTTTCCATTTAGTATTTTAACCTCAACATATTTGGATTAATTAGTGGTTTTGTGGTCATCTTACTTGCCTGTCAACATGGTTAAGAACTTACACAAATGCAGATGACTCATAACCTTATTTGTAAATGGTCCCGCTGGTGCTAAGGTGTTATCCCCCACAGTTTCAGTAGTGTTATAAGCTTTTGTTGATTCCAGGTTAAAATGATTTTACCTAGGTTGATTCTCATATTTCTGTGTCTCCTACTGCTAAGAGACAAAGGGAACTGAGAATCAACCTAGGTGAAATCAGAATTAACCTGAAATCAAATTTTTCCTTTGACATAAATTTACCATAAAGGCAAACATAGAACAGTATTAAAACAGTTTTTAATAGTTTGTATCAAGGAATTTGGGTGCTTAATTCAGTGGTGCTCAGAAAGAGGTGAAAATATTGTTAATTGGCAATCTTATGAAAATGTCATACATAATTTTAAAAAAGTTTGTGCTGACATATGAAGGAAATAAAGCTTCTTATAGGTTTACTGGAAGAGCAAATTACTGGTAGTCTTTCAACTGCCCAGCCTTAGTTTTCAAAATAATTTCACAATACTCTAGGTTTTAGCAGATATGTATTGTACAATACTCTTGTTTATTGCATATCCGTTAAATACTGCTAGTCTTCACTAGGCAATGGTGTTGTTTTTCTTAGAGGGACTAATATATAAATTTAGCCAGGGCTAAAAGCGAAGATCTTGTAAGTACACTTATAGTTTGCTAAAGCAAAAAACTAAGTCATGTAATGCTAAATGGCGATGGCATCGAGAATGCCAAATAAATCAATAGGTCTGATCGGCAAATAAACAATTTTGCACGTGCAGCACACTTTTTTGTACATTTCTTTGAGGCCGTTTTTGCACGACTGCATTGTGAAACTTCCTAGTTACTTGTTTTGTAGGAAAGAAGGTGTATGTGTTCCTGTTCATTTTTTTTTCAACTGAGCTCATGCCAGTTTAAAACATTTCTCATTTTGTCATTTCCCCATAAAATTGTCATGTTTTCCTTCCAATGAAATTCATCTCCTCTGATGTTTTATCTCTCACTGTGTTTTCATTCTCAGCTAGCTTAGTTCTGACACAATCATCCATACATTTTGTTACCGATGGTGCTATGCTGCACGCGCTTTGTGCTCGAGAGCTCCACTTTAATTATTAGCACCATGGTTGCTTGTGATTGGGGCATAATGAGCCTCAATTGTGGTTGGTTGGTTTTGTTGTAAAGCATTGTAAAGGTTAAAGTGCACCGAGCATGTTTGTTATTTTATTGTCCTGCGAAGTAAATCAATTAGAAAGAGTATTTTGGTGGGAAAAACATTAATAAAACAAGCGGCTATGATGCACAAGCCAAAGTGGATAATATCATATCATTCTAATATGTATGGAATTTGCAATTTTTCTTTTTGTTGTTAAGAAACATGAGGCCTCTTACTTAACTTAGCACTTGTATTTTAGGAGGTTAATAGATTTATGATTACTTTTATTTCAGCCAAAACAGAGGAAGAAAAGCTTGAAAGGAAGAATGAAGTGGGAACTAAACTTATAAGGTAGCTAGACTGCCATTATTAATAAAATCACCTTTCCTTGTCGTATTTATATTTTGAAACTGTTATGTGAAGCACACATCACTCTAAACTTCTTTCAGTGCTTTAGAGGTTACATCATAGTGTAGGCAGTAAATTCTGATTTTGAATCATTATATTAAAGAAGAAGGAGATTTCAAACACCAGAAAGCTCAGAAAAATTTTCCGAGCTCCAAGTGCGATCGAACTCACAACCCTCTGAGTTCTAGTTCAGACCCTCTAACCACTGAGCTACCGGAACTCTAATGACGAGCAAGGTCAGAATTTAAATACAAGTACTCCAGACTTTTAGGGACTTGTTAGTGGGCCAGTGTTAATACTGACCTTTGGTTTGTTCATGATACCTAAGTTAATATTGCAATTCCTAGGTTGTTGTCATTTGCTAAGTTTTAGTCAGCCTCATGAGTAATCAATGTTGGACTTTCTTTTCTGTGGCTCTTAGGTATTTTAAGATACCTTTCTGTCACTGTTAAGACTTCCTCTTTTGTACTTTGTGCTTTGGAAACTGGTTTTAGCTTTAGGTGTGTGCATCTGATATGACTGGCTATATGAGCAACAAAATGAAGCAGATGCTGTTACTTATTAGTCAGGATATGCCTGTCATGCCTGTATTGTTCATCCAAGATAATTTTCGCCATAAGCCATCCTATGGTGGTCCAAACTCTGCCGACTGTCTCTTTTGGGGTAATCTCCTCTCACATTACCCCCCTCCCCCCCTGCCCCTGTAAAAATATATCAACCAGGTCTGCAAATTATAACAGTGGTGTTACTCAGAACATTATACAATGTCTAACATGAAGTACAAACCATAAAATTCGCTTTTATGACTTAATAGTTTTTTCAGTGATGATGAAACATTGCAGCAGAAACCATTTTGAGTTGATGAAATTTTTTTTCTGTTGGGAAACGAAACAGACTAAATTTGAAACTAAATCATGGAAAATTTTCAAAGTCAATATTATTCTAAGATTTGGTCTTCTGTAATTATGGCAGGAAATTTCTGCCATATCTGAGAGAGATAACATATATGTTATTTAAGTGGATAATGGCTTTGTTCTTCTGTTCCATTGTCATGGTCCTCAACTTTGTGTTAGTCCTCAGCAACTTAAAGCTAAAGCTTAACAAAAATTGAACCATCTTGACCTTGTACTTGCCAGTTGATTTTCGGTAGCACCTGTAAGCTGAGGCTTCTTTTTACTGTATGTTGATACATGTGGCTAAATTTAATTTAGGCGAGGTTAAACACGAGACAATGCTGGCCAGCGGTCTCCCTTACTAATCATTTGTGGCGCAGGCTTAGGGATTGGGTAGTACTTGGTGTAAGACTGCCCAAAATGTCCCGGGCCACCACCCACCACTGTTAGTGCTGTAGCGGCTGTGCTCTAGTAGACGAAATGATACCTGTAGTAGCTGTAGTAGCTGTAGTACCTGTAGTACCTGTAGTACCTGTAGTAGCTATAGTAGCTGTAGTAGCTGTAGTAGGTTTAGTAGCTGTAGTAGGTGTAGTAGCTGTAGTAGCTGTAGTAGCTGTAGTAGGTGTAGTACCTGTAGTAGGTGTAGTAGCTGTAGTACCTGTAGTAGCTGTAGTAGCTGTAGTAGGTGTACCCAAGTACTACCCTAGGGATTTTTCAGGGTCCCAGTATTTTACAGCGCTCCTTTGGAGGTCAAGTCATTTTGCATACATTGTCTTTGTCTGTGCTTGTGCCAAAGCCTTTTTGCTCCCAGCCCTTTCCTCCCTCTTGGTGGGTCTTGTTAACTACCTGAAAACTTTCTACTGAGGTTCTCATTGTGATGATGGCTGGTGGTTGCCGCTCACATGGTTGACATGGTTACCTTCACGCTTGCTTGCAGCTCCCTCAGTTTACTCAGGCACCTTTCCCACATTGTAATTAAGGGTGTCTTGAAAACAAAGACTTGTAAGACCCCCAACCGAATGACTGAACTTTATTGATTAGGGTTAGCAAAGTGAGTGAATCAGTTCCATTTAGGTCATTATACTGGGTTTCCTAATCCTAATCTTAGGGTGTCTGATGGGGTCTTAGGGGTCTTTGGAAATTTCTAACATAATTTATTGTAAAATTGCTTAATGCATATATTTGGTGAGTTCTTACATAACCAATGAATCGACTTGGGAACCAACCATTAATTCTTACTTAAAAACAAAAATGTGTTCTAAATATTTCAGCAGACATTTTTAAAAATTTTAAGTGAATGAATTAAATCAAAGAACATACTCTCACAGCAGAAACCTCCTGTTACTTTAAATTGTAAATGTTTAGCTTTTTCAAAGTCCGTCAAAATTTATCATATACCGGTACCTCTCTTATGAGCAAGGGTATAATATTTTAAGTCAAATTCCAGAATATTTCCTGACCACAATGAAGCTTTTATAGCAGGTATTTAATTCATTTACCACCAAGAAGCACCTGCTGTGACATTATAAATTCACTGAGTTACTCAATACTTTCAAATTAGTATTACTTACTGTTCATATTTCTTGTATCTCAAAATGTAGTTTTTATTTTTCAATGTTATTTGATTGATGCATTTGAAGATTTTCTGTGTGCTTTGTTGTACCACAGCTAACACAACCAAAATCTGTAGTTCATGACATCCATGCAGTTAATTAATATTCTGTATCTTGATGGTTTCTAGTATTTAGTGCCAGGTGTTGTTTTAATTAATTCAATAAATAAATATACCACCACAGTTTTCAATGGTTATAATAAAATCCAAGCAAAGTAGCTAACTATGTAGATGTAATTCTTCCTGTTGGAGAGCCATGGTTGCTAAAACTCTGTAATGTGCCCATTTTTGGGGACGTGAAGTTAGAGACTACCTTATGCTGCTGCATCAGCATTGAGAATGTCGCATGTTCTGTTGAGGACAGTATACTGCTTAGAATGTGCTGTAGAATATACATTCTACTTTCTCTACAACGGAGCAAATGAGAACAGTAGTATGCTTTGTGATTTGGTCTGGAATTTGGAAATAGCACTATATTGTTTCATTTCAAGGTGTATTAAATTTTTGTAAGTAACTAACTCTTAATGGATAATTGTAATGGTTAATTTTGTGGAAAAAGTAGTATTAAGCAAAATTGTTTGATATGTCGCTAAATTTACTCCGACATGTAACTTCCCAGAGTGTATAATTTTAAGTTTAGGTATAAGTTAGTACTGCATCCTTGGTCATAAGAAGGTTATAATGAATTAACAGTAAGTTGATGAACCTAGAGATACAGTGTTTTCTTTCTAAAGTTGATATGAAGCTACTTGCAAGACAGAAGTTTCATTTTCCAGAGGTCTTTCTGTTGTTTGAAAATTTTTATGTTATTTTCTTTCTTTCAGCTGATTTTAGCCAGTGCCTTGTTACTGTCTTGATATTATATTTTAATGGATTTCTGTCTCTGTGGGACATTCCTTGAATGCTTTGCTACTTGTGTGTGTTAATGATGATACTGTCTGTCGTTACTATAAGATTTATTGGAGCCAAAAACAACTGTGAAATTACATAGTCATTTCAGGCATCCTACTGATAAACAGTTAGTTCATTCAGATATTTGCAGGACCAACAGCCATTCACCTTTTTTCACCTTCAAAACTGAGAGGTGTATTTGTTAAAATGTGGTAGAAAGATTAACACTGTTGTGGCAGACCTTCGTTAACTACCCAGCAGTTACTTTATGTAAAGTTGTGGTTATTATTTTAAAAGGCCAAAAGGGAAACTTGTGACTTTGTTTTGATGTAGTTACATCAAACCCTAGATGACTACAATCAAAATTTAATTTTAATTTTTAATTTTACCAAATATACTGTTGCTGCAATATAGAGCAATTTTCTGTTGACGTGGAGGACATTAACATTAAATTCTCTTTGCTTTTCTAGGCGTCTCAGTACACGGCCCACAGCACAGGAACTGAGAGAGAGAAATATACTTAAATGTAAGCACATGTTTTCTTTTTTCAGCTGGCCTTTTTTCTTCTACAAGATAAACATTTTGGGTCAGTTATGTGTAATTGAAGTCTAACTTAGACAGCAGTTTTGGAAATCTTTGGACCTAACGATCTCTTCCTTAGTGGGTCATTTTACAAAGACAAACACCATTTGCTTTTGTGAAACTGTTCACAATAAAAAAATTAATGGTGTTTACATAGAAGTGTGCGGCAATCTTAAAATGTCTTAGAATGGGGTTTTATTAAACACTGGCTAAACTCTGTTTAAATAACTGGCCCTTTGTTTCATGAAAGTGAATTTGTTTAGTTTGGTAAGACAAGATCACTTTTGACTTTTATTTGGAAATGATTACCTAATTTACATAGTTTAAAATGGATATGTGGTGGGTCTAAAATACATGTCACTTTTACACAGGTCAGAGTACAGGTCACCCTGATACGGATAAATGAACAGTATTAAATGTTTCTCCTAGCCCTAATCTCTTAACAAAATACTCTATTAGATTGAGGAGAATCTGCATCTGGGCTGTCACTAAGATTTCAAGTTGTCTGGGAAATACAACAAGTAGGCAGGGAATTCTTTTGGTTCCGCATTCTTCCATTTTCCTATGAAAGTAGCCGGGGAAAATGCATGATCTCCGAAGGTCAATGACAGCCCTGCTGTGTGGTTTGGTTATTTATTGATGGAGCAGTGACCTGTACTCTTGACGTGTGGAATGTGACCTGCACTTTAAACCCGGCCTGTGTGGAGGTGTAGTGGCTGAGTGGTTAATACTTAGAATATTCTCTGGATCTGGAAGTTCACGTCTTGGCCTCTCACCTTCATCCCTGTGTTAACTGGACTGGACAGGTTGCAACAATTCATCCTTCACCATCCAGCAGTGTAAAATATTTGTAAATCGGTGTTGAATTTTAATGTGCATGAGGACAACAAGCATAATGAATTTTTTCATATTGGGTCATGCAGTATTGTTTAAATGAAATGAAGAGACTTAAAAAAAATTGTCCAGTTTTTTTATTTGACTTGCCAAGTAACATCAGGCTTTTGTGTTAAATTGTTAACTTCACCTTACCTTTCCTCTCCGTGCCTTGTGGCACATGAGGCCTCTGTAAACTTAACCAACACATTGTATTTTTTACAGCATCTTCGGAAGAAGAGGCACAAGAAGAAAAAGAAGAAAAGAAACGAGTTTTAACAAGAAAGGTGTGTGACACACATGTTGTTGATGAAAGGCAATAGCTGACAAATATCTAAACATTCACCATTTGTAAAGGAATGTCTTGTAAAATATTTTTTTGCTCTAGGTCCAGTAATACTAATGTTAATGTTGTTTTCATTAGCTGAGTAGACGACCGACTGTGCAAGAGTTGAGGGCGAAAAAGATCCTAAAGTTCAATGATTATGTTGAATGTGTTGATGTTCATGACTATGACAGAAGGTGAGGCCTTTGTTCCTGTTTACATGTTCTTAAACTGTAATTTGGAAGATGGATAATTCCTGTACCAGAAGGCTCGAAAAAAATTCCGAGCTCCAGGTGAGGATTGAACTCTCAACCCTCAGAGTTCTAGTTTGGATGCTCTAGCCACAAAGCTACTAGAGGCTCTATGGCGAGTAGGGTCATAACATAACATAACATAAAACTTTATTTAAACTCGAATTTTTGAGTAGCTAACAAGCTAATATCTTCGAACTGACACTACATAAAAACTATATAGAAAATATATATATACATTAAATGCAAGGAAAAAAAATATCATTTACAATTCACAATTTTGAGTTTAACTATGTCAGGCAAAAAGAATCTACATGAAGGTAACATCCTGTATTTTAGTCTTAAAGTCTGCAAAAAAACTGGTACAAAAAAAGTCCGGCAGTGCATTCCACTGCTTAGCTGAAAAGTAAGAAAAGGAGTTAAGACCATAGGTAGTTGTTTTAGGTTTACTTAGTGAAAGAATGTAGTTAATTTAATTACATTTTAATTACATTTAATGGTCGGAATTTAATTAGAAATACAATCAGTTTCATTTTAATACAACTACAGACCCTCTTAGGCTAGGGATCAGCTATTTATGGAGTTATGAGCTTAAGTTGAGTTTGAGTAAAGATTGAGTTAAATTACCAAAAAATGTCATTTTTTTACAGACCGTCACCATTTTTTTTGTATTTTTTGTTGCCTTTTTTACGACTGGTGTGGGTAGCCAGGCTCCTGCATTAGGAAATGATACTCTTCTTGTGTGCACAATTAAATACTTGAGAGTGCTGTTCACACGTTTATGTGGAAGTAAGATGATCTTTTTTAGAAAAGCAATATATTCAAACATAATTTTTTTAAATGGTATAGTCCCTTTTTAGCTGATCTCTCTTCATAGCTGATGACAAAAGAGAACGTAAGGGTCATTGTGCAAAAGAGTAGGGAAAATATGAACTGGTCTCTTTCCCATGGTTGTTAATGACTGGAAAGAAATCTACCAAAATTTGTAGTGCATGTTCACAGTTTACTTGTATATTGGCAATTTTATCAAGTTCCTTCATTGTTAATCTGCCTTGAGCATTTCCATTCGTTTTTTAATACCCAGTCTGAACTCCATAACTCCACAATTCGCAAGTGCATATGCAAATTTATAATTCACGATACTGGCAGTATAAAAACCAAGATGGCACAAAAAACAGAGCGAGTCATGGCTTTAAATGTAGAACTACTGTAAACACAGTCTTTCTGAGATTGACCATGAGGTTGTTTTGTTAAGGTGCTCCAGTCTTCTTCAGAATTTATTGTTAAAACTGTAGGCAATTTAGTGTGCATTGGGGGGAATGGTTTCTGTGTAGCTATAGTCTTTCAATCTTCTTAGTGAAATTGAGGAAAATGATGACAGGAATTAAGAGATGGTAATCCTACATTCTTTTAGCATTGAAATAATGTGCTCATTATTAATAGCCTCTTCCAGGTGTTCATAATGTGGTTCAGGGTTTTAGAGGCGGGATTCCAATGTAGGGGAGAGGGAATATGTGACTGTCTCGTCACCCTTCCGTTTTGTAAAATTGAAAAATTAATTGAATTTACGGGCATGATATGTGTAATGCCGAGAATCTTTGCCATCATTTGCCTTCACAGGGTGTAAAAACTAAAAAATGAAAGCAAAAACAAGAACCAAATCAATCTTAACCCAAACTCAACTCAGACTTGTAATTCGATCATTATCCTATCTACTTATGCAACACACCTCTATAAAGATGGAGCTTTAAATATAATTATTTTTAGTGTATATAAAGGATATTACATGGTGGTGCGAAGATATGAATTTTATTTTCGAGTGACAAAACAATATTTTACTCACTCGCTGCGCTCGTTCGTAAAATATTGTTTTTGCCTCGAGAAAATAAAATTCATATCTTCAAGCCACCGTGTAATGTTCTTTTTATTATTTTATTATAGACAAAAAGACATCGATAAAATAATAGAGGGAAATTACCGAAATTACGTCATCGATAAACTCACGTGTGAGATTATGGAAAATAAACCACTCGGGTCCCGGATGTAGTCTTTACGAATTTTACGAGTGGTTTATTTTCCAGTAAAACACTTGTGTCTATATAATAAAAAAAATTATATCATCATTCATCTGACTCCAGCTAAATGTTTGCTTTATTGTCAAGGTTCATCTCACACACTTGACGTGCACTTCAGTTGGCTTGATAGGTCAACTACTAGATCAGTTATTTTCATATATTAAAATTCACACTTGACTGAGACTTGGGGAAATGAAACAAATGAAATGTCCCACGAGCTCTAGAGATAAATGAAACATTGCCATTAATATATTTCCCCTTGCCTGAATTATGATATACCGTAAAATGCATTTAAATGCAATTTAATTAAAGGATTTAACAACTAAGAGCACCTTAAGTGCGTGAGGTCAGCAGTCTTTGGCATGCGCATGCCCAGTAGCTAGCTAAATCAATCATGTGATTCATTGGCGCATTCAGTTTTTTCTTTGTGCTGGGTTCTTTCAGCCATTTCCCCTCCTCCTCCCCCTAGGCTTTGTTGTTTTTTCTCCACCTTTCCTTTCATGTGGGGGCTCATGGCTGGGTTCCACTGTTGTGCCAATCATGGAGGCATTATTTCAATGTAGGGGCTGGCTGCAAATAGTGGAAGCCGCTGGATACTCAAGGCACCAACCTCCATTTTAGCGATGCAGTTGTTAAATTCCAAAAATAAGCCCCTCCTTTTGTAAGCCCCCCAAACTCATAGCGCAAAAAATCCTCTGGTAAATCCCCCCTTCAAATATAAGCCCCCAGGGGCTTGTACTTGGAAATTGGCCTCAAATACAAAGTAAAACAAAGAAAAATGTTAAATTTCCTTCCAAGAAGGCTAGCCCAATCGATTTTGAAATGCAGATTTCCCTCTGTACATAAGCCTCTCAAAAAGGGCCTTTGAAAAATATGAGCCCCGCGGCTTATTTCCAGAATTTTATGGTATTTTGTAAAACTTATATTCTAATTTTGTCCTTGTGTTTTTTTTTTCATCATCTGGTTTTATTTTCTGGAGTTTTGATGTTCTCATGCATACCATTTATTTCTTGTAATATTTCTTATTCTTTCAGAGCTGACAAACCATGGACTAGATTAACACCAGAAGACAAGGTAATCCTTTTTTATTTATTATTTGTTCAGCTGTTCTGCTTTGCTGACAGGTTTTCTTAGAACTTACAGGACTGTTGTTTGATTATATTATTGACATAAATCTGTCCTTTCTAGGCTGCCATTAGGAAAGAACTCAATGAATTTAAAAGTAAAGAAATGGAGGTTCATGAGGACAGTAAACAATATACAAGGTAAGGGTAGATTTCCAGTGTCTTGTAATTTTCATTTGCGTACGCATGTAAAAATTACGTTTGTACAATTAATTTTCAACACTGGTTAACAGGGGTAGTGAAGTTGGCCAGTCCTGAATTTTCTGGATGTTCCCATATTAATTGTGTTCACAGTTGGTAGAGTTGTACTTCTGCTTTGGTGAAATGGCAAATGTGGTTTTTCTTTTGCACTCACAGCAAGGACTTGTAGCTACTTCTTCTAAGATGTTCGTGAGAAAACACGTGAGCAAGGCTGGCTTTCTTTGTTGAGATAACTTTAAGGTGATTTTACATGAATTGGGCCGGCCTGATGCTGTCATATTGGTAGACAAGCCTCATGACATTGAAAATTTCGAGCTTGGTTACCCAGGATACCAGCTAACTGGGCTCGCTTGGTTATTGTGCAATCTCAAAGTTTATTATGTTGTGTTTAACTAAATTGCCAAATTTTGGCACTGTGAGCCAGTCTGGCCATGTAACCAGGCCCTAAGTGTAATATCCTTCCTAAAATTACTGTGAAACAATGGACATAAAAATTTCTGGAATTTTATTGTGTTAACGAAAAAAGAAACCCGATCAGCTTTGAGAAAATGAAGCCACAAGTAACAAAGGTAATTATTTTGTGATTTTATGGCTTGGGTTGTACTAGTAAAAAAACTAGATGTCAGTAATACTTCTGATCATGTGTTTGATTCTCTTGCCAGGCTGCCTTGTGTTTTCTTGATAAACAAACAGAAAATTTTTGAAGTCATTTATGGCTTTATTGCTATTGCAGCTCTATCATAATTATATCTATTTTTACTTATCGCATCCCCTTTCTTGCAGGTTCCATCGACCTTAGTTTTATAATATAGATGCCAAGAAGATTTTTACTGAACATTCTATTTTTTGTTAGATGGAATTATTCAAAATACTCTAATAAAAATTTAATGTACAGGTCATGCTATGACTGTAAATATATCAATAATAATATTGCATATTAAGAGTTTTGTATAGGATTGTAAAGACTTTTACTGTTTTTTTTAGATGCATTACTTTGAGGGTGTCAATGGGATGTATTCTAGTGATGTCTTAGTAGATCATCTCCTAAAGATATTTAAGTTTCAGCTGAGTACAGTGCAGGATAAATGTTTATCACCTATGTGGACTAAGTTGCTAAAAAGTGAAACGTTACTGGAGATAACTGAAAACTTTTTTGTGTGTGCTATAGATCTAATGCAAAAATGGCCACAGCAGTTCATATTCAAGTCACCCTCACCAGCCTTGTTCTTGAATAAAATTTTAAGATTACTTTATTTCAAGCAAGGCTAGTGAGGCTAATTTTGGAAAAATTGAAGAACAGCTCCCCAAAAAATCTGCCGGCTGTCACCAACAGTCGGCAGATGACTGGTCAACAGTCTGCTGACCGTTTTCCCATTTAGACAGAAAAGTGTCAGCTGACTGTTGGCCGACAGTTGGCCAGAGTTAGGTTTCAATCTGTCGGCCAACTGTTGGTTGTCTGTCAATGAACTGTTGGTCAACAGTCTACCAAGAGACGACCAACAAATTTTTGGGGAGCTGTTCTTCAATTTTACCCTAATTTTAAATTTAAACAAAAGAATATTAATCCAGCAGTACTTTTTGCATTGGGGCCATTCTTATAAAAAATGTTCAAATATTTGACTTCCATGAACTATGTGCTATAAAACAAGAACTTGTTGTATGACAGTGCGTTCACATTTTGTTATTTTTATCGCTACAAAATAAATAAGGAGTTATATGCTAGACGTTAACCCCAATGACATCCTCTTTTAGTGTGCTAAATATTTGCATCAATCCTCTTGTTAGCTAATAACTTTATACCTTAAAGACCCAAGTTTTGTCAGTTTAACCTCAAAAGGTTTTAAGTTCTGTAAAACCAAAACTCAAGTCCCTTCACTAAGCTTTGAAGCCAAAATTGAATTACCCGAATAGCTTACAGATCTGTTAGATGTGCTGGGTTCTCTTATGGGCATCTTTACTATGATATTATTTTGCTCTACCTATGAGCTCTCCATTTCCACTGGGAATGTGTTTTTTTTTCTGTGAAAATTAAACCTTCTTTTAAGCGTACCATTGTGTATATTTCATGTGAATGTTGTTAAATTTAATAGGATGTTCATGATGTCTTTGCAGTACCTCACTTCCTCTGGCAGGAAGGAAAATTAATTTTTGCCTGTGGAATTCAAGCATAATTCCCGCTTTATAGAAGTATACGAACATTTTGGAGCAAATATTTGGCCAAATTACAGAACAATTTCAACCAGTAGCACTTACTCTAATGATGTACATAGCATTTGACAGAAAAATTAAATTTAAAACAATCCTGGCTTTGCATCTTGTATCAGTTGACATGACCGCCCAATGACACAGTCACCTGAACCCAGCCAGCATGATCGTACCAGTTTTTCAAAGACCCTGGTTGTTGGTCTTGCTGGGGTTTGAACTGACAACTTGCTTGGTATACTGATGCTCATAAATACTGGTAAACTAATGAGGTGGTGGTAAGTTCTTGTGTGAAAAAGTTCTTCAAAACATTTGCCAGCTCTGCAGTTTTAAGATGTGAACATAGGTAGTACAGTAGTCTGTTATTCTTGGCATGGCAGATTCTTGTTGTCTCTTTGAGTCAGTTATTTGGCTGTTTTGTCTTTGCATAGCTGTCAAATCATCCACTATTTTCTCAAGCTCTGACTACTTAAACAGCAGCTTAGCTGCCACATCACAGTCTTTGTGTGATGTCAATAATCACAGTAGTTTTCTTTAACTGGATGAGTGATGCAAATTGTCAAAAAATAGAAAAATTAATCCAAATTTGGTCAGCACTGGCCACTTAAGAAAATTAGTGGCAGGATTTAAACTAATCAGAAGTAGACTCGGAGTACACCCCGTGGGGTACAAGTCTGTACCCAAGACCCACATAGTCAGAAAGAGCACACCGAGCCTAACAAAAATAATCCTCTCGTTTGGTGTTTATGAGGCCAATATCGAACAAATTACAGTGCAGCCATTAAAAATCTCAAAAACACGATATACCCTGTAGAGGTCTGGCGATCCATGCATTTCTAAGTAAATTGCCACATTTTCAAATGGCTGGTATTGGTTTGGTAAACACCTAGCCTGTATACAGCCGCCCCTCCCCTCAAAAAAAATCCTTTCCAATTCTTTTGAGGGGAGGGGTGGCTGTACACAGGCTACGTAGTAAACACCATACTTGAAGATTTTGTACGGATCATTGTCACTCTTTCCGAGTTTGTGGCTCTGGTGCTGATAAACCCTCGATAAACCCATAATATGAGGACTTGCACCCAGTCCTCCTCAGTTTGAAACCAAGCAATAACTGACATGCCTGACTCTTTTGACTCAACTCAGTGGTTACTCAAGGAAACAATGCATGCATATCAAAAAGTATTGTTTGTACCAAAAATTGTTATAAACGTTTTAGTATACTCCAGGAAAGAGATTTCTCCTGTCCTTAGGAAAGTTCTCAATCTTCTTTTGGTACCAAAGTTGTGTCTGATGACTTCTTCCAGCCAAGTAGCATACAATTACCACCCATGCAAGATATATACACAAGTGATTACAAACAACTGCCATGCCATACCAAGCAATCACTTCACTGAAAAACAAGCAAAAACCCATTACTATAGTCTAGCCCTAGACTGTCTCGGCTATTCACTTGGCTATTCACTGTTTCGAGACAAGTCAAAATGACATCTCATTTAACTCAGCAATAAATGAAGCAGCTGTAAAAACAAATACCAAACAAGCAACAAAATTTGGCTTGTCTGTCTTAACTGCTTAGTAGAAAATTATTTTCTTCAACAAAGTCATAAAATACACTTGACTCCTAATTTTGTAAACACTGTCAATTCAAAGCTCTTACTAAGGGACATCTTTTAATATTATTTTACAAAAAAGGTTACACTAATAAAAACAGCTAAACGAATATCCTCCTGATCAGCGTGTGAAATGAAGATGATCATCACAGTTAAATAGACAACTTATGCTGTTGCAAAAAGAAAGCCCGAAAAATTCAGGCTTGCTGGGATTTGAACCCAGGAGCTTAAAGCTTTGCACCTTGGTATAAATCCACCACAATTCACCTCCCCTATGAAAATAGTTGTATGATATTTACTAACTTACCCACAATAGTGTGCACAGACAACATAACTGAAGAGTCCTCCCTGTGGAATGGTATACCCAGATGAGATACCAGCTGGTCGCAGCTTGGCTAACACCCAATGATGATACAAATTTATAAATTCACCAGTTATGTACAGCACAACACCAACTGTTAATGCAGTGTGATTGGAGGACAGGTTAACTGCAAGAGTATTGTCTGTGTAAATGTTACACCAGTAGTGCTGAACAATGGAACCAACTGAATAAAATGTTGACACCTGCACATTAAAGAAAAGGGAAACAATATGGCTTTGATATTTTCTGGATATTTCTAGCAGTCACACAAGAAATGCAAGTCACAAACCTCTGCAAAAACTAGTAATTTATCTAACCTGTCTTTCAAGAACAAAATCTTTAATAGGCTTTCTTGTGGTGGAAAAGTTGATTACATGTTACTTAAGGTGGCTCGACTGGATTTTTTGGGGTTGATACCTTCCAACTTTGAGCATTAACTATGTCGGCATGAGTAAAGATATGGAAAAAAGGTTACCACAACTGTATTATATAAAGATGAAAATTTCTTATGATCTGGGTTTTATTGCAATCTGAGTCACCATGGCAACGTAATGACGTAATTACGTTTTCATGTATCTTTGTGTTTCTCTGTTCCAGGAGTTTTTTGACGAAATCGCTTAAGGGAGTATGTACCTGCTATAATTGCCCCCATTATGGTAAAGTTTGAACAAATTCTATGAGGCGTTTTGAAGTATTTTGAAATGTAGTTTTAAGAATGATAAAAACAGTGAAATAGCATGCTACCTACACAATTCCGCTAATATTTTAAGAAAATGATAAGCTTTGGGAGCGAGGCTTCATCTCATAGTGGTTTGACTCCATTGAAAACTGCATAGGAAAAAAAGGGGAATTGCTCTGGGCGATCGCGAGTAAGAAGAATTTTATTAACTTGCATTTAGCTGCTTTTGATACAGTTTTTGGACGTAATTTGGTCCATCCCTAAAAATTTCGCATTTTTCCAAAAACTGCCCGATAATTTTTTTAATAAATTCGACAATCCCGAGATCAATCGTCAAGAAATATTCCCTGCAAGTTTTAAGAACATTGAAAACATGGAAGGCTTTTAAATAGGGCCTCAAATATAACCAATTTTTCCCCTAGATTTTGTGTTTACAAGTGAGCGTCCTCATTATTCACTGGCATTGTTTTCAAGTTTCATATATACACGTGCACATTTAGCAAAAAGATAGAATTTGCATCAAAAAGGACCCTCGGTTAAATCTTCGGGATATGCTAATTACCGGGTAAAGAGATTAATGATACATTATAAAATCAGAGCAACTCTTTGTGATAGTTTCTGTGATGTTATAACCCGAGTAAGATAATTAAGTATTCCATCCTACGCGATGAGCCGTGACGTTCACCGTTTCGGCTCTCACTGCTATCTGTGACGACAAGCCAACTATTAGCATATTCCTGATATTTCTTCGGAAAGTAATCGAGAGTTCTTTTTTATGCAAATTTATATCTTTTGCTGGTTGTGCACGTGCATATGAAACAATGCCAGTGAATAATGAGGACGCTCACTTGTGAACACAAAATCTGGGGGGAAAATTGGTTATATTTGAGGCCCTATTTAAAAGCCTTCCCTATTTTCAATGTTCTTGAAACTTGCAGGGAATATTTCTTGACAATTGATCTCGGGATTGTCGAATTTATAAAAAAATTTATCAAGCGGTTTTTGGAAAAATGCGAAATTTTTAGGCATGGACCAAATTACGTCCAAAAACTGTATCAAAAGCAGCTGAATGCAAGTTAATAAAATTCTTCTTACTCGCGATCGCCCAGAGCAATTCCCCTCTTTTTTTGGATGCAGTTTCCAATGGAGTCAAACCACTATGAGATGAAGCCTTGTTCCCAAAGCTTACCATTTTCTTAAAATATTAGCGGATTGTGTGGCTAGCATGCTATTTCACTGTTTTTATCATTCTTAAAACTACATTTCAAAATATTTCGAAAACGCTCTCATAGAATTTGTTCAAACTACGCCATAATGGAGGCAATTATAGCAGGTACATACTCCCTTAAGCGATTTCATCAAAAAACTCCTGGAACAGGGAAACACAAAGATAAATGAAAAACGTAATGACGTCATTACGTTGCCATGGCAACTCCGATTGCAATATAACCCAGATCATAAGAAATTTTCATCTTTATATAATACAGTTAAAAAACCAGTCTCTTAATTGGCTGAATTGTGCACATTTGGACAAAGCTTAGAAGATTTAAGCTTGGATACGAGGGCTCTGCTGTTTTTGGAAAATGAGTGTTTGCTCGTGCACGAGCCAAATTGGGAAAGTGGCTGAAATCAAGCCTAGAAAGATGCGGCCCCCCTTCACTAGCACTAGCAGGGGCGGATCCAGGATTTTTTTTAGGAGGGGGTGTACTCGTCTCTTGCTCTATTTCAACACCAATAAACCACATAGTTTTTTTTTTTTGGCAGAATACCAGTTGTATTAGAAAACCGCAGGTCATCTCAGAGGGGGGTGCGCACCCCCTGCACCCTCCCTCTAGATCCGCCCGTGACTAGTCAAGAGCAAAATGAGTTGAGTTTCCTGAGTGACTGACGAGAGAACAAGAAACAATCATCTTCTTACTATTAAACATGAAATATCCTTTTAATGATAGTGACAAACAAAGTATTGTCTCGAAAGGATGTGTCAAACAGTTTTTTATAACAACTAAGTGCTGAACAATCAAACTTATCCCTGGTTTTCACTGTCACATCATCAAAAATATAATTTGTTCCAGTAGATTAAGTCCAGAATCTGGGATATAAAAGGAGAAATGATTTTCCCAAATTTATTAATACAGCTTTGTATGGAGACACCATGGTACTCATCGGGATGGGAATATCTCTGTTGTGGTTCAATTTTATCCCTGGTGGCACTGTATGGAAATGTGTTTAACACAAAGAGAAAATACATTTTACAGTCAAGGCACTTAAGTTTGCATAAATGAATCAATTAGTCGTTGCTGCAACCAGTCTCAAATTCACATATTATGCATTCCTGCATGCGTAATGAGCAATGAATTTTTGACAATAACTCCTCTGACTGTATTTGGTCTGATTGAAAAATTAATTTTATTAAAGATCAAATTCAAGAAAACTGTGCCAGCAGAACTTTCATGAATACCTTGTGTGTGAATTCACTGCTCATTACATATGCAAGAGTGCAAAGATGAAACTGAAATTTACAACGACCAATGGATTCAACCTTCGAATAATAAATTCATTAATGCAATCTTGTTGGTATGCTTGTTGGTATGTTGGATTTTGGTCTCACTTAGGGTGTTCTGGGCAAAACGCCATCATATTTAGCCATGAAGGTCTCAGTTAGGGTTGCACACGAAAAAATATAAATATATATATATTGTCCGTGTTTTAGCATGGTCTCTTTTAGCGGTTAAAAAAGCTTGCGCCACTCCCAGATCGTTCTCCTTTAGGGGTTGAATTCGAAATTTCCGACGAGCATCCCCGTGTGTAGTTCACTTTGGGCATGCATTCACTCATAGAACCTTATCGAGAACCTTGGAAACAAGGTTGACATGCAGTCACTCATGATCACTGCGAAGTTTGCTGCAAAAGCATCAACACCCACTTTTGATTCTATTAGTTGTGTAGACCATGTATCTACTGACAATGAGATAGGATTAAAGAGTCTTTTTACACAGAGGATTGAAAGGATGGAGTCAGGCAGCCAATACACCTACTATGAATAAAATTTAATGTCTTACCTCTGCTACTCCCAAAACAGAAATTTTCTTGGAATACTTGTGTAGAAACAGAACTTCCAGGACTCTTTTCCCAAAATGACCTACAAAGGTCACTAAAGCTACAAGGTGAAATGTTGTCTGTGGCATTCCAACAATATACCACAAAACAATCTGAATCACAGCTGGCAAAGCATATGTTAATGACCAACCAAGCCGTGCATTGATCTCTCCATCTGAGGCAAATTTACTACAAAAAATTAGAAACATTGTTAACTTAATGAAGAAATACTAAAAAATGCATCTCTTACAAACACCTCAAAACTGGCAATATGCAAGAATTTCCTCTCTGTTTAGTTTTCAGATTGAAATAATATCTTTTGCTGATGAATTATGACTTATGAATAATGAATTATGAATCCTACAAATTGCCCATGAACAAAATGTATCTACATGTAGAACCCAGTAACTTAAGGGTATTAATCTTTAATTTTAAAAAAAGCATATTTTTATTGGAGGAGTGGGGGAATTTTACAATTTAGGATTTGAAAGTGCTCGATGTAATGATATCAGTCATCGGCAGATGAAACACTGAGAAGAGAGTTAAAGATATGATGCACAGTAGAGTATTTTTGACGAACTTTGAGGTATTTGATCTGGTGATGAAACACGGTGTTGAATGCTTGCTATTACTTCACAAACAAAATGATTTTAGAGGGAGAAATTAAGGATGCAAAAATGAGCAGTTTCTTGTCTGATTTCCAAACACTCATTAATCATTTAAATTTCCTTTGTATTTTCTTTATGAATTATTAACGAGTTTGAGAAATTTAGGAGAAAGTGTGGCTGAGTGGACAGCTGGTACTGTTGGACTCGCCATCTGGCGGTCCCAGGTTCAAGGATGTCGACAAAACATGGACCCCCGGTTTGCTAGAGGTCTAAATCAGTTTTGAGAACCCTGAATGGATGAATCTGTGTCAATAAATTACATATAACTATTATCAGGATTATGGGGTCCTCATATTATACATTTGTTCAAATTTTTCCTGAATTCCATACCAATGTAATGGGTTTGGGTTAGCTAGTCTGATGAATGAGTAACAATATTTGAAGGGAACGGAGGAGAGGTAGGGTCCTACGTAGCTTGTAATGTGTCGAAGTATTGCAAAAATCACTGCAGAGACTAGAGAGGAAAGTCAGGAAGAGCTAACACATGATGATTGAGTATCCTCCCCAGACTCTGATAGCCCACAGAAACAATTATTTGTCAGCAAACGTATTGATCCTGATTACGGATCAAGCACAACATGACCTGCATATTTCAAAACAATGTGGTCAAGCTCAGACCTCTTACAAGCTTTGCAGATGCAACAGTTATATGCAGGTCATTTTGTGCTTGATCTGTAAGCAGGATTTAATAAGTTTGCCAATGAAAAAACAATTCTATGGCCTATCAAGAGATGGGAAGTCTGGGAAGTGCATGCAATGCTATGACACACACCAAAACGTCTGCATAGGGGACTAATTCCTCCCTACAATATATTTTGCTAGTACTCCTTCAACATACTAAACCGAGCCCATCTATGGAGTTCAAGAAAATTTAAACAGGTGTATAACATGAGAGCCCATAACCCTGATAATATAAACTGAAAGCAGTTTTGCCCATTTAAGGTGCCTAAAATCCATTTCTGACCTCTTGAAAAATTCATCTACAAAAATTAGGGGTGGTCCATGGACTGGGGGTCCATGTTTTACCCATGTTTGCACAATCTGTTTTCATCCTGGGTTAATTTGTTTTAACCTGGGTCAATTTGTTCAAATCCTTGGCCACACTTGTAAAAAGCCAACTGGATAAGCTAAGTGCACTTTCCACTATAAACAAGCATTTAACCTTTGACATTGTACCGAGTGGAGTAAGGCACAATGCACCTCATGAAAGTGAGGTTTATAATATCGTCATGGGCAAAGTGCATGCAGCACTGCATAACTTCAATGAGGATCGCAAGGCAAGTGTAATCATCTCTTTGCTACTAATCTATTGAGTTTGGTCAATGTCCACCTTGGAATGTCTTCTTAGTGCCCATTTTAGGAGTTGAAAAGTGCTTTTTGCAATGAATTTCGAAGGCCAAAGTACTTTCAAGAGAAAATGGAAGTGATTTGGATTATTAGCCAAAGGATATGAGCAAAAAACAAGGTAACAAAACAAGTTTTGCTCGCATATGAGTTTATACCGTATCGGCTCTGTTGGACATCTGTTCTTTAAAACATGTGATGAAATGCACTTAAGTTTGGTTTTTTTCGGTTTTTACCATAAAAACACCAGTCATTCTCCACAAAAATAGTCTTGAATTTGTGTTTAACAGGGCTTGATCAGCTACAACAGGGCACAGTGGCCAAAGTTCTAAGGAAAACTGCTTAAATACAACATTATCATCTCCTTGATGGTATGTTCCCATGTGGCGCAGTGGTAATGATGTGGCCCCGTGCATAAGAGGTCCTGAGAACAATTCTGGGCAGAAGAGTCTTTTTCTCTTCTGCTCTTTTCATTTAGTATTATTGTAGTTAGTGTAGTTACATATTTTTTTTTTGGATAGCATAAGTTTTTTTTCCATTTAAAAATTATCCTTCCTATTGCCTTTTTCCCTTTCCTCATACTTCTTGCCGTTCCCTTGAGGTGTTCGATGAGGTCCTGTAATTCACATATTCTATTGGTAAAATGGCTGGTAAATGGCCAACAAAAGTTGTGTGCAAAATGAAGAGGTACCACAACAGCTCCATGTAGGAAAATTTGGATAACTTTGAATGAAATTTAATGCTGAACCCAGGGAGGGGAAATTTGAGCAAACTTGGCCCATGTATGAGGATTTTAGAACTTGTTAGTGTCAGGATAATTTACGCATACGTAGTGTGAGTATAATCAATTGCCATTTGAATATCCAGTATTCCATGGATAGAAAACAAACTCAAATGGGAAGACGGATTATTATTCATACTGTTTGCAGAGATTTGTTGTCAGAAAAGATTAAAGGTCTTTTTATTACTGCTCCCCCATTGCATATCAATTAAAACAACGACATTTGTTATATTATAAATTGCATGTCATTTATCACATATTAGTACTTTGCTTCAGGTGCGCTGGTGACATGACACTATTTCCAGCCATCTTAATAATATTGTTAAAAAATTAAAGCTCCTAGTGGGGATCTTTGAACTTAAATATCGGCCAAAGGATGGAGAATTTGCGACCCAAAGTCCCCACCTCAGCATGTGGTCCCTCCTCAGGTTTAACATTAACAGGTGCAGTGCTCCAGACTAAGGACTTTATGATCTGACGACACAATGGCAACGAGAATGTAAATAAACAATAGGTTAAGGGGGCAAAACAACAACTTTACACCTGCACCATACTTTTTTGTAAATTTCTTTGCCGTTTTTGGATGACTACAACATGAAATTGCTTAATATTACATTTTATGGAGCACGTAAACAAGCTACCATAAAATTTGATTTCTCTTTCTGAACTTTCTGAACCCCCACCAAGGGGGTTCATCTCCTGTTGATAAAAGTAAATGGATATGAGTAATTGTGATAAAGACTGGAAGAAAGTAAATTCACTTCTTATAAGATGTCTTCGCTGCCATTGGGTCATCTGATCATAAAGTCCAGGGCTACCAATTGTTTTGGACACTAGGTATTGGGCATGGAGTTTAATAAATTACTAGTCCACGAGGACAAGCCACTAGTACAAGAAAATATAAAGTGGCTTGGACTTTCCAAGTGTTGTTCACAACTTTCATGACTCTTCATTGAGTCCACACAGAAATGTTTTGTTTTTGTGACAAAAGCAGAGGAGTTCAGATTTGCTAATCTCTCAGCACTATTGTTTTAGTCCACACAAGTTCTGAAGTATGAATCACAACTGAGGATAAATTTTCTTCTAACTTGATTGAAATCTTCTTGACCGCTTGTCGCACTTCTTTTTCTCTTCATGCTGAGTGTGGTCCTTTTATAAACAATGCCTCAGCATCATTGGTTGTTAAAAAACACCTTGTCAAAGATAGTTTTTTTATAAATGCTTTTTCATTGTTGTGGTTAATGTGCACAAAACAAGGATGTAATTCAAATTCCCACATGGCATCTGTGCTGCAGCTGTGGTCAATTTTACAATATCATATGATGTCTCCATAATATGGACAGCAAGTCTTTTGGCCTATATTTAATAATCAAACTACAGAAACTAACTACTGATGACATAACCTTCTACACCTGGTGTAGAAGGTTCTCTTTATGTCTTCCATGACCAATGTGGGGCAATTGAATATTATTCAGTCTGGCATGGAGAACGGAAACTTATGGTATAATCTGAAGTATAAAAAAAATTGCGAGAAAAAAGTAACTAGTATGAAAAAAAATTGCTATCGTCTTTTAAAACAATGGAGAGAATATATAATTAATTATAGATTACATGAATAATGAAAATTTTGCTAAAAGTAAAATTTAAGACATTGGTAAAAAGCTCTAAGGGACCAATCGTTTATTATGTCCTGAGGTGGAGGGGGGGGGGGACAATTTTCTAAGAGCCTTGATTTTCAATTTGGGGGGGCCAATTTTAAAAAAGCTCTAAGGGACCAATCGTTTATTATGTCCTGAGGTGGAGGGGTACAATTTTCTAAGAGCCTTGATTTTCAATTTGGGGGGGCCAATTTTGAAAATGCACAAAATGTGAGGGGGGTTGAAATATTGAGATACGGGGCTGGCCTTTCACGTAAAAGTTGTCAAACTATAATATGATTGAAGCAAATCCACGTTTCATTCAGAAGTAGACAAAAAATTTGCTTCTGCGGTTCTTTGTCAACAACAAAATGTTACCCGTATAAAGCTTGGCCCAGAAACCTATCAGCTATTTCTACTACCAGGTAGCGTGTATGTACTCACATATGCCTATGCATACAGCTGAAATCTGGAAAAAATATATAGATTTTTTTATTTCCTGAAAGCATTCTTATTATTAAAGTGGGATAAATATTTCACATTATATTGGTGTTTTTGTGTTAGGATTTCATTTTTCCTTTTACTGATTAAGTGGCATGAAATGGATCAAAATGTGAAGCCATAGACCTTGGTTAAGACTTTTTGACCAGGCCAACTACAATTCTATCTTGGTCTAGTGGGGGTTGGAGGAGGGGGGGTACATTTTAAAACTTGCTATTGCCAGGGGGGTACAGTTTTCATATGTAATTATTTTTTTTTTTGAGGGGGGGAGAGGTATTGATACACAACACTTTTCTGAAAACCCCCGCCCCCCACCTAGGACGTAAATAAACGATCGGTCCCTAATCTTCGTTTTGACTTCGTACCTGTAATCCAGTGGGAACTTTCCTAAGTATTCATTAACATAATTCATGACACACAGCAATACGGCCAAACTGCACAGTCCTATGTTCAAATAACTCCATAGAGGAAGCACCAAAACACCAGCAAGATAGGCTAAGAGTACCCACACCACGCCAAACAACACAGCTACTGAAAACGGTCTTTCCTCCGCCATGTTGTAAGAGCTGACCGAGAGACTGGGACAGCCTATCTTGAGAACGTCAGAACGAGGCTAACCCTCTTATGACATCATAAATCCCATGACTCTTCAGTTACTGAATTGTTGACTAGACGTTCGCCATTATTTCCTCGCAAGATTCGGATTAACACTGGTTGGATTTGTTTGGTGTTTACCGCGGCTATAAGCATTCTGCTTGCCGAAATATGAAGCCAAGAAGGATATCTGACGATGTAGATGGTGACAGTTCTGTTATGAAGACGTGTTGTTGCTGTATGGACGTACGACTTGGTACAATTGTGCTTGGATTTTGTCATCTGGTGAGCTGGCGGAACATATATAAGTTTAAATGTTAAAAACGCTCGCTGTGTGTCTTGCTTCACCGATACAGTGTTTTGGTTTGCGATATACTGTCATTCAAGGGTTTGAAAAAGGAAATACATAACTGGCCTTCTTTTATCCCCGATCGTTATATCGTTGTTAGTGTTAAATAGGGTTCGTCGCGGGACCTCTCCCAATCACGCATATTCGCTCGAATTCGATACGCTTTAATTATTACAGTGATATGGTTTATATGTTTTGTCGCTATTATTTTAAGTCTTAAGTTCTTTTGACAATTATTAATACTAATTCGAGTGAAATTTTTCAATTTTGTGCTTAACCATTCCTTGACTGCTAAAGAAACTTTAAGCTTCCCTTAACATAAAACCGAAAGCGAAATCAAGAACCTTCCGGAAGCTAATTGCTGAGCGTATAAATAATTAGAGTTAAATTTCTACTTAGCCTGGATAAAACTTTTCTGTTGAATTTTTGTTGTCCTTATATTGAGGGTTGTTCTTAAAAGTGAAAACCAAACTTCAAAGCTAAGATGCACTGAATCGGAGGAGGTGTTCGTGTAGGCAGAATGAATTAATTTATCACTATTTTCTGGTGTCACATAATAATCGATTTGTTCAAAGTTTATTGTGTAAAAGAAAATTAAGAAACTACCCAAGCCAAATGTATTGTTGTGTCTATTTGATATGCCTCATTAGCAAAAGAGATGTCACAAGAAATGTGACATACATTTCATCCAGTTAAAAAAGGTATTAGGTCTGCTATTAACCCTTCCATTTAAAAAATTTATTTCTCAAATAATAAAGAATTTTGCCAAATAAAAATTACAAGGGTCTATCAAGCGTGAGCTGAGTTTTCAGAAAATTGATATCCGAGCTGTCAATTTTCACACTTAAGGTGTGATTTCCGATTTATATGGTAGGCTCAAGACTTCAATAATAGTTATTGATTATTTCATATTTCTGGCTTTACCTTGATAACTTACTATAGTCTGCTACACAGCCGTTTTTAGTGTCGTCACACAACGTTCCTCCCCACTAACGGCTGCTGAAAACCGAACTTCATTCCTTTCCCGTGATTAGCCAATTATAATTCAGCTCCCATTTTCTGGAAAGTGTTCGTGCCACATTTGCAGTACTGTGACTCCTCCAATCACAGCTTTGCTTTTATCGGTGCCCTATGTGTGAATGACAGAAGAATCAAAACGTCGCGTGAAAACAAGCAATTAACTAGAGTAGTGTTGTCGTAGTCGAGTCCTATTTAAAATTTAGGAGATAAGCACCAGCAGCAAGCAAGTCGAGCAAATTGCGATGCACAACCTGGATGTGCTCATAAAGTTGTCAGGTATAGTTCGGGAAATCGCTCATCCATAATTTAAAAGATTACTTTTTGAATCAGTACCCTTGAGAGTTTAGTATTCACAGGAACACAATGAGCACATCCGGCACATTTCAATTCTTCATCACATATCAGTACATATGCACGTTAAATGAAGAACCAACCTATCAAACCTTTCTTTCACTTGGAACTTTCTTGACCGCTTAAAACAAACTTTTTTGCAAATTAACCTTTTCGTTGCTTGAAAACACAGAGCCCGTCTAAATTCAGCAACGATTGATTGATTGTCGAAAACTGAGAAGGGTGCTCGCTTCCTAGGGCCCCGCAGCTCACGTATTGTCAAACTTCTTGTGCATGATTCGCTTGTTTGTTAGACCACAAACACAAAGGGAAAGGAATGTAGTTCGGTTTTCAGCAGCCGTTTGTAGGGGAGGAGCATTGCGTGACGACACTAAAAACGGCTGTGTAGCAGACTATGATAACTAGGGATTGAGTTCAGGTTATGAGCACATTCCAATGAGCGATTTTATACGCGTGATCAATTTTTGACTTTATAGCAGTTCTAATACCTTACTTGTTATTTATTTTGCACTGTTTTTATTATTGCAGTATAATTGACCACTCCAGAAAATTCCAGAACATACCATAATGCTTTTTGTTTGTCACCCCAAAATTTTGCCTACGCATTGTCTTCACTTTTTCTTGGGAGTTTAAATGGCCCCAAGAGAAACTGAAGACAATGCTTATGCAAAATTTTGGGGTGACAAACAAAGAGCATTATGGTAAGTTATGGTATTTCCTGGAGTGGTCAATTATGTCTTATTATGTTTTCGAGAATTTTAAGCAAAAAAATTTTAAAGTTCTTTTGACATGGCTGCTTTCACGATGGGATTTTTTTCCACTTGGGTTATTTGACAAGTGTGTAATAAAATAAGTGAAATCTAAAGCTAGTTGGTAGTGTTCATGCAGTTGTAAGTTGATTGAAAGCAGTAAATTACCGGTAAGCAATTTTATTGTAAACAGTAAGAGGAACATTTTCAGTTGTTACACATTTAAAGTCTTTGTGCCTAAAAACATTTACACAGTGAACCATGCTCTTTGCTATTTTCACTGTAGTGTTTGTTAAATTTGTGGGGTTTTTTTCATTTTGCCTCATTTTCAATGGCTGCTTGATGGTTGATTGTTTAAATATAATGTTTTGATTGGGAAAGTGAGCTCAAATTTGGTTTGATATATATTATAGATAGATAGGGAAGAAAAATTACAGTATATGAGGAAGCATAGGTGGGATCAGTATTGTTGTTAATTTTCTCTTTTTTGTGTAGCTGATCCACATTGCTGGTGTGGTGGTGTTGACACAGATGCTACTTCATCCAGAACTTTATGAAGAGAGGTATTTTGAAACTTATGGAACAACTCCAAGGTCAGGTGAGTGAATGAGTGGCTGCAGGGATCTATTGCAGAATTTGTTTGGGGGCCATGGAAACTTGAAAACTACTTGATTCCTTTACACAAAAAAATTGAGTTTACTCTTTTCTTCCTCATCTATTGCAGAGTAATAGTGTGGTTCATGTCAAAAACTTGCATGAAAACATACACATAAAAAATACTTGCCAGGCAAGTGCTTGCAAGGCTGCTGCCAAACGTGCAAGAGGCACCTATGATGTGCCTGTGGGCAATCAGAATTTCAAACAAGGAGCCTGAACGGGCACCTAAAGCTTATAATTCTCAGGCCAACTTGTGGTGAATGAGGGATAAGATTCCCCTGCTCATACTACACTGTTGAAACGAAAACTTAAAATGTATGGCCGTTGGCCGTAGGCAAAAAAATGTTTCTGCCAATAAAAGGTAAAAAAACAAGCAATTGTCTGAAATTTGCTTCTGTGACTTTGGCTTCAGTGCAGTTGAAGTCTCTCGTCTAAAAATGACGTTAAAAAAACCTTCAATATTAAATAATGACTTTTTTCCCCAGGGTTAGAAACGTTAAGTCGATATTGCATGTAGTTAAACCAAACAGTACATACAGTACCTATGTAAAGTTTACTTTTGCAAGGTTGTAGTGTTTTCTATCTCGCAATGAACACAAAGGGTAAACTTGGAGATTGAACTTGGCGAATTCTACGGTACGAGATCTTCCCGTGGGTGTTCCCCACGGTTCAGTTCTGGGACCTGTACTCTATCTTCTTTATACTGTGCCACTTGCTAAAGTGATAAGATCTTATGGCTTAGATTATCATCTATATGCCGACAATACTCAGTTATACTTTGCATTCAAATCGGTGGATGTGGACGCGGCTAAATCGAGGGTCGAGAACTGCATTTCTGCAATATGTCGATGGATGGATCTCAATGAATTGAAGCTAAACCACAACAAGACGGAAGTCATTCTCATCCACTCAAAGTATCGTCCCTCTCCATCCTTTCAGTCCTTATGTTTTGGTGATGAGAGTGTGGCTGCCTCTCAGTCGGCTAGGAGTCTTGGTGTTGTCTTTGATGAGTACATTTCTTTTCATGCACATGTGTCTAGCATCTGCAGATCATCATTTTATCATTTCAGGAACCTATTTAGAATTAGGAAGTATTTCACTAAAGAATCAGCAGAAGTTGCTGTTCGTGCATTTGTCACATCGAAACTAGATTACTGTAATGCATTACTATATGGCCTACCTAAGTATCAGTAACAAAGATTGCAGTATGTACAAAACACGGTGGCTAGAGTTGTGTTGCAAGTGAGTAAGTTTCGGCATATCACACCTGTTTTGTGTGAGCTTCACTGGCTACCGATTCAATATCGTATTATTTTCAAGATTCTGCTCCTCGTGTGTAAATCACTGAATGGGACATCGCGTAGCTATTTAGCTCAGAAACTACATTATCGTTCTCTTACTAGATCATTGAGGTCTGTTAGTAATGAACTTTTAATGCAACCTAGATTGTATACCGAGACCTACGGAAATAGAGCATTCGCTTTTCAGGCACCAAGAGAATGGAACTTAGTACCTCATGAAATTCGGAAGTCGAACACCATCTTGAGTTTTAAAAGATCACTAAAGACGTACTTGTTTACTAAATTCAGTATTAACGGATCATTGTTTTTACAGATTTGTATATATTGCGTTAGTTTTAATTTTTCCCTTTTTTTATCATTATGAATGAAATGGTTTAATAGTTGCTTTAGTTTTAATTTTTTCCTTTTTTACTCATTGTAAATATAATAGGATATGGTTGTAAATTTGTAAATATTTTTCAATAATGTTGTTTACATGACTGTAAAGTGCCTTGAACATAGGATAAGAGCGCTATAGAAATAAAGTTATTATTATTATTATTATTA